TTAGAAGCATTAGAAAGTCAAGGTAAACTTGCGGTTAACTTGCGGTCTGCAATGAGTGTCACGCTCGCGCACACAAGTAAATATATATGCACGTTCATTCTCACTACGCGTCAGACACAAGACGCGCGTACATAATGATGTACATTAATCAGAATCAGAATTTTTTTTTTTTTATAATTTTTTTTTTTTTATATAATGGGACACAGGGTTCGGTCCGGATTGATTTGCAGTTCGGTCCGGATCCGGACCTTGGTCCGGAGTTTGAGAAGCCCTGCGCTAGACCATATGTGACATGTTCTTTGTCTTTTTTCGAAATTTCTTGAGATATGACTATGACTTTCTTTCACATTTTTTGTTTTGTGTCAAACTCAAGACCCGGGGGCCAAATCATGCCCTTGGTGGATTTAATTTCAGCCCGCATGATAATTTTGAATTACTATTAGATCTGGCCCGCCGGTATATTGCACGCACACCTTCACTCAATCCTGAGGATCTCCTCAGCTCAGAGCCTGACCCCAAACATTGATGAACTTGCACCCGAGATGAGATGCTAAGTATCTGGCTTGAACTATAGCATCACAGAGCAGCAAACTGAGTTTCAATGGATGTTCCTTCTGCACTTTTTTTCTTGCGACAACAGGGCATGTTTGTTTTTTTCTTTGAGGGAAATTGTTTTTTTGAAGCTGTTGTTGGCCTGTGGAAAAATGTACTCATAAGAAATGACTCCGGAAAAGCTGCAGATAGAGCCATAAGAAATTAATGCAACTGATTATTTAATGTTTAATGTTGTTTTTATAGGCAATCATTTAAGCTTTGTTAGTTCCAGGTTTAATATGTGCAATAAGTTCATTTCAATACGTTTTGCAATAAACATTGAACCAGTCCGGCCCTCGACTAGTAGCCTACCGATATTTTCATTTTGGCCCACTGTGTATTTGAGTTTGAAACCCCTGCACTAGATTAAGACTTTCTTCACATTTTTGGATATACTCTACTATGACGTTTTTTTCACATTTTTGGACATATTCTACTATGACTTTTTTCTATTTTTCAACTCACTCTTTTCCATTTCTTTAAAACAGCTTATACTTTGATTATTTGTCCCATATGAAAGCTGTTCCCATACCGGGAGTCGAACCCAGGCCGCCTGGGTGAAAACCAGGAATCCTAACCACTAGACCATATGGGACATGAATTCTGTCTTTTTCCCACATTTCTTGACATACTATGACTTTTTTTCAATTCTTTTGACACACTATACCAGGGCTCTCCAACACGTCGATCGCGAGCTACCGGTAGCTCGCGGGCAGCTTTTCAGTAGCTCGCCGCTCGATTATCGATTATAGCGTAGTAAGGTTGCTTATTGATTTTTCGGCCGCGGCTGGACCATAACGTTTTTTTATTTTAGAATTTTTTCTGTCACATGAATATCAAATGGTCGGTGACGCAGAGATCAAGGAACAGACGTGACAGCAGCACAGCGACATCACACACGGAGCAGTCTGCTTTCTCCACCAACACCAGTCCAGAACCAACAGCAGAATGACCCGCTCTGAATCAGGCCCTGTCGCTGCGCCTCAGAGACACACAGGGAGGGATTTGTGTTTTTTGAAAAACACTCGTTATCGTCATGTCAGGTTTTTGGTGGATTTAATCAAGTCTTGGATTGCAGAGTATGAATGTCCTCTTGCTATTTTCAGTTGATAAATACTTGTGTAAAGTTTGTGAAGGCAGGAGGAAAGCTTCCGCGATCACCGTCTCCTCTCCGTTCCTCCAAACCCCGCCCCCTCCCTGAAAATAATGAGTGACAGGCTGATAGTGACCCGATAGAAACTTTATTATTCACTTAATCACTGATTGAGATATGATGAAGCTAACTTAATCTCATACATTCATGGGATTTATGTAACAGTAAGACAGATAATGTAAGTGTGCACCCACATGCACTATTTTTGTTTTTATAATGCTATTGTAAATACTCCTGCTGTTTTCAGACTCAAGTCATGTGTGTGATGCCACATTCAAGACATTCAGTGTCTTTTTTTTAACAGAAGACCGTAGCTAGAAGCTGCAGCTAGACTGCAGAGCAGAAGTATTAGTTTTTTGTTTTTGAGAATGGAACCATTTTCACACACAGATATACGGAGGCTAGACCTATACAATTGATTTATTATGGTTTATAATTTAATGTCAAGACGAAGAAGAAGAAGAAAAAGATGGCTGAACAACTGTTCAGTGTCAATCCTGTGGAGATCTCCAAAATAATGTTCAGCTTAAGTCTCAGCAAAACTCACAACATTTCTGGAGCCTTGTAGACCCAGAAAACTATAAGAACATTCACCAAGCAGCACTGAAAATGTCTGCTTTATTTGGTTCTGTTCTACATACCTTTGTGAAGCAGCTTTTTCTGACATGAATGAAATCTAAATACAGAACAAGACCGACTGATGAACATTTAAATGACTCTATTAGTGAACCTAAGTGGGTCCAGCATACACCTCTATGGTGGACTGCATGCAGTGCCATTCATCTCACTAAAAAAAGAGTGAAATGCTTGTAAGGTGGTGATTAAGGACACTTATGTGAATGTTCAGTGATGTACTTATTATGTGGGCCATAATAATATGTGAGAAATCTTCGTTTTCTTGGACCTTATTTTTGATAAGCTTTAGGTATTGCAATTTCACACGTGTACAAAGGTATAGCTTAATTCAACTGATGAGGGCTATGTGAATAAATGTAAGCGATGTGATGCAAGTAGCTCTTGGCCACTTTCATTTTTTGAAAGTAGCTCTCAGATGAAGAAAGGTTGGAGACCCCTGCACTATACTATGACTTTTTTTCAAATTTTTCGACACTAGATTATGACTTTTTTCACATTTTTGGATATACTCTACTATGACGTTTTTTCACATTTTTGGACATATTCTACTATGACTTTTTTCTATTTTTCAACTCACTTTTTTCCATTTATACTATATATATTTATACTATATATGTATTTATATATACAGCTTATACTTTGATTATTTTTCCCATATGAAAGCTGTTCCCATACCAGGAGTTGAACCCGGGCAGCCTGGGTGAAAACCAGGAATCTATTACTTTTTTTCAAATGTTTTGACATGACGTTTTTCACATTTTTGGACATACTCTACTATGAAGTTTTTTCCAATTTATAACAGAGTATACTATGACTTTTTTTTTCTTTTTTTCGACTCACTCTTTTCCATTTCTTTAAAACAGCTTATACTTTGATTATTTTTCCCATATAAAACTGTGAAAAAGGTAATAGTATAAAATGGCAAAAATATTAAAAAAAATACACAAAAGATATCCCATATGGTCTAGCGGTCAGGATTCCTGGTTTTCACCCAGGCGGCCCGGGTTCAACTCCTGGTATGGGAACAAGTTTTATATGGGAAACATAATCAAAGTATAAGCTGTTTTAAATAAATGGAAATACTTTTTTTCCAATTTTTTGACACAATATATTATGACTTTTTTCACATTTTTGGATATAGTCTAATATGACGTTTTTTTCATATTTTGGACATATTCTACTATGACTTTTTTCAATTTTTCAACTCACTCTTTTCCATTTCTTTAAAACAGCTTATACTTTGATTATTTGTCCCATATGAAAGCTGTTCCCATACCGGGAGTTGAACCCAGGCCGCCTGGGTGAAAACCAGGAATCCTAACCGCTAGACCATATGGGACATCTTTTGCATATTTTTTCCAAACTTTTTGACATACTATACTAAGACTTTTTTTCAAATTTTTCCACATACTTTACCATGACGTTTTTCACAAATAGTGCTGATGTCATCCAGGTAGTCCAATCAGGAAGCAGGCAGCCAATCGGCAAACTGGTCCAATCACCAGGAAGCACCTGCACACAGACACACAAACACATCAGAAAATGCAGACATAATGACCCAGGTTCATAACAATACTATAAAATGACTTTCATGTTGGTCAAGATACTATACTATTCTTTTCATGATATTTACAACATATGACTTTTTTCATTATTTTAAACATACAGAGAGCCACCTTCACCAAGCCAACCAACAATACGGTTTGGACATTTGGGGTAACAGCTTCAAAAGTCAAAACATCTCTATACTACAACACTGGCAGGAAACCCTGGATTTGGTATGCAGCAGCGTTTTATAAGGAGCGCACTCATTTGAATAGCATTTTAAAAAATGTTTACGTAAGAGCCTTGGATGCTGAGCCACGACCAATTTAACCCCTGGTTATACAGTAGATGAACATCTTCTGTTTTTAATCAAGAATATTTGGGTGATCAACAAGTCCTTCACCAAAGCTTGCAAATAGCTATGTAGTGATTTGATGAAATGAAACCAGAGCCGCCTTCTCCCCATCTCTCATACTCTTGTCAATCAACCTCCCTCTGAACAATAGCACGGTATGGCCCCAGTGGGGGATAAACAACGCAGTAATCCCGCTCCTCTCTCTCTCTGCTCGGTCTCCGCGCTGTAAGCTGCACACGGGCCAGTCAGTACTTTACTAATATGATTAAGCAGTAGTGGGCGGAAACCACATATGTATGGTCCTAAACTGAGGACAGCCATCTCCAAAACCATTTTTAAAATGAGAGCTGCACCTAGTTCCTCCAAAGAATGCAAAAAGTGTCAAAGTTAATAAAGATAACATCTACACAGGTCCACATGCTTTAAAAATAGACAAAAAACAGGCCATCTGCCTCTTAGCATAGTAGAGCAGGGAGGATTAAATCCAGATTATGGCCGTTGTGTACGTGTGTGTTAGTGTGTGTGTGTGTGTGTGTCTGTTGCCTGTCGTCAGTGTGTCCTTGGCTCCGTAGACAAGCAGCAGGTTAGCTAGAGAGCTACCACTGGATTTGACAGCTATAGAAAGCCGAACCGGAGGGCGCCATCAGGGGAGCAGCATCACTTTCACCTACAGAAAAAAATATTCTCACCCTCGCAGAGTGAACACAGCAACTCAAGATGGCTTTCTTGATCAAGAGCATGATTGGGAACCCCCTGTCAGGCATTGGCCTTGGTGGTGGAGGTGACAAAGAAGAGGAGGCCGCCCCCACAGATCCAGCCAAAGCAGCAGGGATGACACGAGAAGAGTATGAAGAGTATCAAAAACAGGTGGTGGAGGAGAAGTGAGTACAACGTGGACGGTGCTCCATTTTCAATTCATGCCATTGGCCCATTGAAAACAGTATGGCTGCAGAATGTCCAATCTGACCTTGACTAACTACTTTCTACTTCACTGCACTGTTTACTCTCCCCTCTTTTGCACTAACATATTTTTTACCCGTACCCTAACTAAATGTAAACCCTCATTTATATATTCGTTTCATGAGCTTACAACAAGCTGGGTGTGTTTTTGAGAAGTGCATCTGTTGCTGAAGGTCACAGGTACCACCATACTCGATATTTCCTGCTGGGGCTAATGGTCCTGCCTGGATCAATAATCTCCCATAATCTGCCCTCTATTTCTGCAGCAACAACAGCAATATGTAACACTTTGGGGAATTTCTAGATTTTGAAACATCAATGAAGCATTTTTATAAAGGCAGTTTATTCTCTGCTTGAATCTTTTTTACTTGACAGCAGAACATATTGGATTATTCAAACTGAACACTATGATAAATGAGATTATGTGCTGGAGCAGCAAAGGAAAGCAATCAAAATCCTGCAACTGTATATTTATTTGTCCATTTTATTTAGATCTGCATTTGAGGTAGATGTTGGAAGAACGTTCTATAAAATATAGCGGTTTCTTTTTTTTTTTTAAGCTTTTCATTTATTCCTAATGGAATATTTTTTTTTTTATGAAGTAGATGTTATTACTCTTCAGTTGTTCATACAGCAGGTAGCTTGGTTTTGCACACTGCCATGTTGCTGTGCTATACAGTATGTAAAAATAAAGTACATGATTTTAATGTATGATTGTACATTTAGCAACAAGTTATTCCATCCTATGTTTAATTTGAAAGAAAATGTGTGGAAAATCATTTCCTCTTACAAATTGGACTTTTGTGAAAAGATTTTGCAGCAGCGAACAGATCCCGTATTACATAAGAAGATTAATCCAGACTTTCGACTCTTAAAATGTTGGTATTAAAATAGTAATTGTAAATATAAAGGTAGATTTCAAAAGATGACAACATTCTCCATTACTGTAGACTGGATGTAACTGATGTTTTCTGTATAAACTATCTAGCCAGACCAAGAGTCAAAATAGAAAATGCACAGTGTGTCAGGAACCTCACTCCACTGTTTTGTTGCATCAATTATTTTTAAATGGTGGCGTCTTGGCTTGATTTCCAATCTGCTTGACTCAGTCTGGCCTAATAATCCCATCTGTAATTGGCTGAAGGAAAGTATGTGAGTCTGTCTTTGTCAAATCAAAATACTGAAATAAATGTATGAGTATGAAATAATATCTATAACATTAATTAGGCAAATAAATGTAGGTGTGCACATTACAGATTTCAGATTTCAGCAATAGGATATGACACTGCAAATAGTCCAATAGTGTTAAACATTTTTCATTAGGTAGTGCAACAAAGGCATCACATTTCATCCTCATTTGCATAACCTTTGCAGAAAACAAACCATTTTGTAATGTTTACAGTATACACCTATTGCACTGATTTTTTTTTTCATACATGGAGATGCTTACATAACTGCAGCTGTTGTACATCAGGGTTAATCATTCAACACTTGGGCACCAAAAGGACATACAGTTTCTTGATGTTATCAATTTTCATATTGTGCAAACATTATCAACATATTACAGACATTATCACTCCCCCTCATCGGAAACATGATCGCACAATACCTGAACCATTATGATAGTAAGAGCCAGTGCTTTACCATCCAGATGAAACAAGTACAAGTGCAGTGAATACAAATAAATGAAAAATAAATAAATACAAATAAATAAATAAAGAGGTGCTGCTAGAGTTCTGGTGTTGCTTGTATAATACAATGGAGACCATTTTTCTTCGAATGTATCCGTTTTCAGCCGTAGTCTTACTGTGATTTTCTCCATTAAATAAACATTTTTGACCCTGTTTCTCCAATGGACTATGCCGGGGGGCTGCGGCTTCAGCCACGAGACCGTTATCATTTCGCAATTAGAAGAAGAATTCTTAGTAAGAAAGCTACATTTCTGTCCATATCACTGGGCAGTATACCCAGTATATAAAGTGCTGGGTCCAAAGTAAAGCCCAGCACCCGTTTAATCTCCTTTTGAACATCCTTCCAGAAGCCCTGAATGTTTGGACAGTCCCAAAATATATGTGTGAAGTCTCCCACCGTCCACAGCCCCTCCAGCACATGGGGTCAACATTTATTATTTTTAATTAAACGTAATCCCAGTAAACACTATTTTAGTTAATTGTCTTTTTTCAGCTTTAATGCTTTATTGATATTCAGGTGAGCTGGAGTAGGTGGTGTTGAGTTGAACAGTTATATGTTATCTATATAATTAGGCCCATGTGTGTGTATGCAAACAAACAAAACAAAAGGGAATTTTTCTTTCATAAAACTCAAATTCTGAAAGATGTATTATGCTGTCTTTTAAGCACTGATGACGACACAAGGTCCTTATGTTCCACTTTGCTGGTATTTTGTTGCAGCTTTCCTCCTTTCTAAGGGATTAAACTACAACATTTCTTGTTAACCTGGGATGTTCCTGAGGCCGGCAGCAAAGCTTATTGTGGTACACATGTTTTTAATCTCTATTTCAGGATGGAGAGAGATGCAGATTTCTTAAACAAGAAAGCAGAGAGGGCGACACTCAGGGTGTGCCTCAGAGACAAATACAGGCTGCCAAAGGTAAAGAGTTATCATTTCTCATATTTAAAATTCAATCTGTACTCTATATTCATATTCTGAAAAGGAACACAAATGCATAATACTATTAATACAAATGATTATAGTATTACAAGGACCAAAGGAATGTCTGATAAGTGATTTTTAATACACTAGAGTAAAGGGCATTTTAAGTGTTTTATAAATGGCCAGTATTTTCAAGGTTTATAACTTCTCAGATGAAGACGTATTTTATATGATTACGATATTTTAATATATTGTCTTTCATTATCATTTTATACAGCTGCTCCAACTTATGAAGGCACACAGGGGTTAACTTCGTTGATAAGTACATTGATAAACACTAACATCTGCTTTTTCACTCAATTATAATGACTTTAAAACATAGGGTTATTTTTGCTGCTAATAAATGACAAATAAGAATACACATGTAAGTGTTGCCAATAAGAAACCATCCAACATACTAAATACTTAAAAAAATTCCCTCAGTCTTGTAAGTTGATCATGGCTGAGGTTATAATGATCCAACAGCAGCACTTTGCAGCGTGTGCGACAGGAGGTGGAAGCCGTGCCAGTATAGATTAGCGAGGAGGACGTTCAACCAGCGCTCTGGAAGACGTTAATATGTGTCCCATGTAGCACCTAGGGTCTTAGGAAGCCAAATGCCTCTGAGCAGGTGTCCCAGGCTCATTAGGGAACGCCGGCAGTGTGAACAGCATCTATTTTAGTGGATGTAAACCGAGCAACTGCAGGATTTAAAGGACTGTTAAACAAAAAGCTGTAATGGCAGGAGCACAACAGGTATGTTGGGGTTTTAATTAGGTCTTTTAGAGATTCATACAGGAGTGTTTCCTATCCTATAATTCAATCTCATTTAAAACTGACTAGTACTTAACTGTGTGTTTTTATGATATAAGAGCAACATTGATTTCTTATACAGCTTTTCTAACACCATTATTTGTATTTATCTGAATGCAGTGATGACCTTAGCTGCTGTAGGTTTTTCCTATATGTAACGCGACAGACTCTCTATTGTTCAGTCTCCTGCTTTAAACAATGGCTGCACTTCTTTTCACTGTTTGTCTTTTAAATTGAAACCACACATATATGATGAGGACAATAGCATTAGTCTAAACATATAGATCTAATTATTTTCCCTCAATGGTGTTTACATTGCATTCCAGTTTGAAATGACAAATGACAAAGTGCCTTTATTAGAAGTGAAATGTGCATTTAAATGGGTTTTCAAACAATAATAAAGCACCTAAAGGGATCCTGTACTGTTCATTATTGTTCTTTGAATGGGTAGGAGGTTTGGAATGTACATACATGCTGAGTTAGTTAGAAACAATTATAATCTAATAACAAGTGTGCGGTAGAAACAGGAAGTTGGTGCTGTCTGTCTAATGGAATTAGGGTCTCGTGCAACGCTATAGTGGATATCTTTAGACTACCGCTGGGATTCAGAGAGGAAAGGCTAAAGCAGGTCCGAAGTAATCCCACAGATTGAGTTTAAAGTAGTCCCAGCACACTGCCTGTTGCATGACTATTCAAGCGATTAGATTGAGTTTGTTGGAAACAGCTTTAAATGTAGCATTTCTATGACGCAAAAGGCACATAAAGTAAAGTCAAAGGAGACTCCAGTCTGTTTAAGAAAATGTAGAAAACAGAGAGAGCAGAATATCCTGGAGAGCAGCTTCTGGATTAAGACCTAGATCCTAGAGCTCTTCTATTTTTGTTCACTAGTCTGCCTAAGGTCTTACAATTTGAAAACAAACACAGACCAATCTGCAGTATTAGAAAGTTGCTATGTGTTTACGTTGGAATTGAAGTTTAATAAAAGAAGGGCAGTATCATTTTTCAATTAATCAATGAATAGCTAGAAATTAGGTCATAAATCGTCTAACAAACTGAGCTTGACACCTGCAATGTTTGTCAAAAGGTCAAAGATATTATGAATGCTTTGGATATGCAGCAGACTGACAGGTTAATCCTGTAAAAAAGCCTTTAAATTGTTTACTCCTGCAAATATTAATTCAATGCCAAAAATATAGAGTCTGTTATAATCGGGGAAAACAATAGAAAATACCCTCGGTCATGTCTGAAAGTTAATATATATCATAACTTGTCATTATAATAATATGTTGGGGAAACTATTACAATTTACCTTATAGTGTTTAAGAACAAGCACCAATGATTTAAAGATAACATTTGTGAATGTTTATTAATTAATGTAGTAAATCTCAATTAAATTACTCAAACGTTACCCGAAAATCTCTAAAATAGAGTATTTTGACCTGTTTCCTTCCAAGATTTTGCCATAAAGAAATATATCTGGATGACAAAGAGATGTCATACCAACTAAGAGCCATTATGATATCTTATAGGATTGAAAACAAAGGCCTCCTCAATACACACTGATTGTACACAAGTAACATGTAATGTACACACACACACACACACACTGAATGTTAAATCTTGTCTGTGTTTCTCACCGTGTCTTCTCCTGGTGTGCAGAGCGAGCAGGATGACAACATGATTGAGATGGCCGGGGACGACGTGGACGTTCCCGAGGAGCTGCTGAAGATGGTGGACGAGGACGCCACGGAGGAGGAGGGCAAGGACTCCCTCATGGGCCAGTTTCAGAACTTGCAGAACATGGACATGGACCAGCTGAAGGAGAAGGCGTCAGCCACCGTCACCGAAATGAAGACAAAAGCAGAGGAGAAGTGCTCCGTCATGTGAACATGTGAGGGGGGGGTAGTCTATGTTTGAATGATGAGGAAGAAGAGGAAGAGAATGACACAGGAAAATGAATTCCAACACTTTCTGGGAATCTGCAGGCTGAGCTGTATAAATACATTTGGTTACAACAGCAAACCAAGAATTTACTTTTATTATAAGCTAAATCATCCTGCTAACATCTACTGAAGGATTTACTGTAACATTCCCTGTTAGCTTGTTTCTGAGTGGGAAGTAATTTACAACTTATGATTGCAATAAACTGAACATATTTTAATTGCAACCACAGTGCCCCATCTCTCCCCAATGGCTGTTTTCTTTTGATGCATTTTGTAGAAAAGTGATGTTCCAAGCCAAGTATTCCTTTTCACACCATTTAAAGGCCACAATACTTTTCAAAACATTGATTTTACGCCATCTAATGTTCACTTGTTCTGTTTGTTGTAAAATGAGACAGTTAAAGTCTCTGAAAGTGTGTTTTCAGTCAAATATATAACTAACCAAAACTAAAACAAACCTTATTTAAGTTTTCAAAAAATCCACCCTGTGTGAGTGTTTCAACTTTCCTTTTGGTTTGTTGGTTATTTTAGATTTTTTTTTTTTTATGTATGTGGTGTTTGAATTAATTATGACTTTTAGATTTTTGTTTTCTTTTGGTGTTATCACAAAGCAAACAGTGTTCATAAATCCCAACATGTTTTATTAATTTAACATTTCTACACATACACATTTGAACTGTAAGAAAAGGTGTTGAGCCTTAAGCATTTGCAGAAACTCACTTTAGAATACTGAATCATTTATTCCACAAAACTTAAAGCAATGTACATAAACACAGATGAAATGGAGGTATACTTGTAAATGTATTGTTCAAATAAAGATGTATATTGAATACATTAAATATGTCGGCTTGTGTTGTGGTGCTAGAAAACTTATTCCAACATTTCACATAAAACGCCATATGGTTTTTCATGTTAATGTCTTTATAAGCTCCAAGTGTAAGCCAATTATTATTCATTTAAAAGATCCTTAGCTTGTCAAAAGTCACTTTATTATTCTATAAACTGTAGTGTGTCTGTACAGTGATTTATGCTTGTACAACCATTAAGTATTTTAAATCAAGCAACTTCAATTAATCCCAATTATCTGAATCAGGGCTAATGCAGTGAATAAAGATAATGGTCTTAATTTAATTGGGCATTATCCAAACACTTGTGAGGGGTGATTAGGCAGAACGGGGGGGAGGAGGACTCCACGTTTAGTTTCACATGAACCCAAGTTTAAACGGCTGTGCAAGTCTGGAGATTATCATCTAATAGGATCAGCAGAGACAAGGTTTCAGCGTGTGCACCGCGCTCTCTTTCTCTCTGTTTCTGTGGATCTGAGAATAGCTCAGGACAAAATGAAGTTCTGCAGAAATCGCATTCTACTTGTTCAAGAAAAAGAGGATGAAAAAATAGTCATAGGACAGAGCCTGTCATCAAGTATGAAAAATATAAAGTCTAAATTAAACTCACTTATTCAGTCCTATTTCAGCACTAGCTAATGTTAGCTGTTGTAAGACACATTTGGAAATAAACTCATCTGTTGTTTTGCAGGGAGTTATATCAGTAGTTGATATTGCTCTCATAGAGTAACAGCTATGCAACTGTTAGCTTATAGCTTAGCACAAGACTGCAAACCCAATGAAGCAGCTCCAACTGAAGGAAACCAAAAGCACCTACCGACACTTCTAAAGCTCACTAACTAACATGTTGTATCTGTTATAAAACTGATTCCTGATATTCCAATTTCAATCTGTCCAATAAAAGCAAAAAAGCAAAAAAACAATTGAAACAGTCAAACAAAAAATAAACTGACTCACTGCTGCTAACGGCAAAGAAAAAGCCGGGCACAAAACCCCCTGGGAAAAAAACACACATTACCTTTACATCTTATTTTTAGTGTGATGATCAATGTCACAATTGTACCGTTTAAATGAATTAGCTTAAAGGGCTAAATTCTGACAGGGCCATGCTAGCTGTTTCCCTCAGTTTCCAGTCTTTGTGCTAAGCTAAGCTAACCAGCTGCTTGCTGGAGCAGAACATTTACCAGACAATTACAAGAGTGGCCTTTCTTTTCAAAATGTTAAACTGTTACTTTAAAACTCAAAATGTTTTATTCCTTATAATAATATTGAACACATTGTAGAATAAGCACCATGATCGGTCTCAGATTGTAGAAGTTTCACTTTCAAATTAAGTTTGACTTGAGATGAATACCACACATAAGAAACATGCAAGACTTTTTCTCTCTAACTTGTTTCCTTTTCTAAAGTTATTATGTTGAAGCTTCTTTCAGCTCGTGTTCAAGCATCTTTCAAGGTTAACCAGCATCTGACAGACACCGTTTGATCAGCTTTTCTCACATTTAACAATAAAACTGAGTCAATTCAAACTCAAAATAACGTTTCAGGTATAGACCTCAAGACACTATTATAAAGCTTAGAATGCGTACCTTAAACGCTGTCAAAGCTCCGCAGCCACAAGAAAACAATAGAGCTTCTTCAAGAACTTTTGCTATATAAACTTTTGCATCAAGTCACAACTTTTTGCTGCTAATTAAAACAGTGCATGCTTCTCCCTCTGACCCCCCTCCCATTAGCCAAACAAAGGATAAGGTCACCTTCTGTAATTAGGAGAAGCTAAATAGTTTTAAGGGTTTTAACTCTTTTGAGTAAAATAATGTAATCCCCTTAAGCAGGATTACCACACTGCTGTCAATCTTTGTTTGCTGTTAAGTGGTTATAGCCAAAACGTGTTATCGTTTGGGCTTTGTAACCCTAATTGACTCAACACTTGACCCCTTTTATTTTAAATATAATTTATTAATTACATTTCATTTATTTTAATGAGTCTATAAAAGTCTTGTTTAATCAACATGTGTCAGGAGGTGCATGATTTGTCCTTAAGGTCAACAAAACAAATAAACTAAATGAAATGTCTTTCTTTTTTGGCCACAATATCTTTGATTAAATATTAAGCTGTCATCTTGCAATCCATGTCCTGACCAGAAATCTTGTAATTATGATTTTGTTGTACCTTAATCTGTGCCTCTGTGGGCCTAATCTTCCTCTTTTTTTCGCAGACTGACATGAACATGACATCTGGAGGAGTGGAAAGATGGTTTTAAGATTTATGTAAGTAGGTTTAGAGCCAACACTGACTGATGCACTTAAGATGGGGAGGAGTTACGGGCAGGGTGTGCGCACTGGTGCCTGCATGGGCGCACAGTTACCCCTAAATCCGGGGCCAAATCCAACAGGACGTCCCCTTTCTGACGTGCAGGAGGGGGGTGCCACATGGGTAGGGGGTCTTACAGCCGGCACTGCTTTAAAAGCCCCCTCAGAAGATGCTCCCTGTCCACTGAGCAAGACGGGCTTACTGGAGTCTTGTGCGTAACTTCTCCACTCTTGGCTCTGCAATTGACAACTTTACCAAGCACAAAGAGTAGCAATATATTTGAATAGCCTAGTTGCAAATCTTTAAGCAGCGTTATTCCGACTATTTTTTGGGACTTTCGACCAATGTGGCTTCTTGGATCAGCTTCCCAGGTGATGATGATGATGGATGAGCGCCTGTCTCCCTCCGCACGCTCCGTCCAGAGCCCGGGTGACAACCCGGCCACAATCCACAGCATAGACGCCATACTGGGATTTAAAGAGGACCAGCTCTTCCACAAGTCGGCCTGCTACGGCGTGACGGATAAGGTCCTGGTGAAAGATGCTGAGCGGAATGTCATTATGTCTCCACTGAAGAAAAGTCATTCTTCAGAAAGTTTTGACAGTAAGTTTCGTGATTTTTCTCCAGAATAATAATAAATAAATTAAGTGTAAAGAGTGTATAATCTACAACACGTCATGTTATATATCTGTAAAAGAGAGGCTTACCGTTATAACTTTATATTCAATTTAGACTTAGCCTATTTCTGATTAAACTTAACCACTTGTTATTAGTTTGGAGTCAGGTCTAATTTTCATGATAGTGCGCACATTATTGAATCTTTCAGAAGATTTTAAAAATACTAAAAAAGAAGACAAAATTAAAATCATTATATTTTAGATGTTAAATAAATGTTGCTCAGCTGTCCCGGCTGTTTCTCCCGGTGCTCACACTCTCCTCTCCCCGCAGGTGTTTGTTGTTCCGGCGGCGCCGCGGAAGCCTCGGTGTGCCCGGACTCTCCGGACGGCAAACTGTCGGATGACGATAACCCGAAGAAGAAACACCGTCGGAACCGGACTACTTTCACCACCTTCCAGCTCCACGAACTGGAGAGAGCTTTCGAAAAGTCCCATTACCCGGATGTGTACAGCAGAGAGGAGCTCGCTCTGAAGGTCAACCTGCCGGAGGTCCGAGTGCAGGTAAAGTCCCAGAAACTAACTCTGCCATCGGCCTGTTTCTCACTGAGTAGCCTACACATGTATTCAGCCGCCATAGGAACCATGTCTCTATAAAAAAAAGTGAATAGGAATGTGTGGCAATATAGAGAAATATAGAAGAACACCAAAAAGTGTTTCCAAAAGCATGTTGGACATTTTCGATGTAAAGTTTATATTGTGTAGATCTTCTTTTACTACATCACATTTAAGATGTATAAAAAAAGACCAATAAAGAACGAAGTTGTAACATTGCGCAATTATTTTGTTCAAAGTTATTTAATTTGTAATCTTTAACCTAATAAACCTGATAGAAATTACATTGTTTGGATCAGTGCATTTTGTACTTTTCAAGGAACAGCAAAAACTGATTTAATTTATTTTAGAAATGTATATTTAAAATGTATTCACAGAATATTAAACTTCAATTGTAGCTTTCATCATGGTTTCAATAATGAAAGAAATGTCTGTCAATATTATATTTGTAACAATCCCTTATTAATGATTATACAATTATATAACTTTAAATCCAAAGTGCTTCGTTTAGTAACTGATAATTGTCAACCTCCGGATTTCTCAATTTTCAAAGACTTTTACACAATATTCGTTTTTATATTTTTTTAGCTCTAAAAGTTTTTTTTTCTCTCCCTCTCTTCTCTTATCTGTTATAATGCCTTTGGATAAATGAATGAAGCTGTATACATTTGAATTGAATTGAAAATGAAAATCCTCCTCTTACTTTCAAGGTGTGGTTTCAAAACCGACGGGCCAAGTGGCGTCGCCAGGAGAAGCTGGAGGTGAGCTCCATCAAGCTGCAGGAAACCTCCTCCTCCCTGCTCTCCTTCAGCCGCTCCAGCAGCTCCCTGGGCTCCAGTCTGCAGCTGGACCCCTGGCTCTCCACCTCCCTCACCACCTCCACCTCCCTGCAGTCCCTCCCCGGCTTCATCACAGGCTCGCAGGGCCTCCCGGGCACTTACACCCCCTCTCCTCCACCCTCAATGGCCTCTTCCATGCCGGCTTCCTTCCTGGGACACAGCCATCACCTGCCCCACATGGGCTCCATGTGCCCCCCGCCCCCCGCCTACCACTGCTCTGCTGACCCCAGGAACACCAGCATTGCTTCACTGAGGATGAGGGCAAAGGAACATATTCAGTCTATTGGGAAGACGTGGTGATGAAGAGGGGAGGTATTAAATGGACCCAGAATGCATCATGCTGCATCTTTTGAGAAACGGACTCCTCATGATGACGGGATTGTTATTTTTGGAAGAGGGAAAACTGCAGGATTAGAGACTCGTCACTAATAAGGGTAATACTTGACTTCTCACTATTTAGCATTCATAAGCAGGATATAAATACTGAATAAATGATTTATAACACACTTCAATAAAGTTGTAAGTGAATACAAGATACAACTATAATTCACGCCTACCAGTAAGCTGAGGTATTAACAGACACAATTCAGTCTTTATACTGTACATAATAAACACTTAAAATGTCCTTGTATCTATTTACAACAACATCATGATGTGTTATAAATCACTTATTAAATGTGTGTTTTTTGCTTATGAATGCCAAGGGAGACTTAGAGGAAAATGTCCCTTAAGAAACTCTTCGATAGAAAATCTGTGAAAATAACTGTGAAATTCCTGTGAAATTATGAAAACTATATATGATCTGGTGCTTTTCCTCTGCTTTATTTCCTCTATAAGCTGTTTTTACTTTACATTCATTCAGCCCCATCCCATTGTTATCCGTGTTACGTTGCCGATATAACAAATCCATTATAACCCATCAGTATTTATTCTTCTTTTGTAAATGGAGCACATCATTTTAATTCATTTGTCCCTACTGCTTTTTGATCTTCATCATAAAAGATTTTTTTTAAATGTGAATATTTTCTCTACACAATAAACTTTATATGTACATTTCATAAACAAAATTGTGGCTGGCATGTTTTTTTAGAGAATGTTTTACATTTAATGGGCAAATTGGCAAAATGAATAAAATGTTCAGGAGATGCAAAAGGAAATATATTGCAATACAGCATTTATATAGTTCATCTGTTGAAATCAAATTTATGTCAAAAATATTTGAGTATCATAAATCTGCTACAGAGTGGAAGTACATGAATACAGCACCCCTTAGTGGTGGATTCCTCTAACATGACTATCCTTGTTGGGAAACATTATCAATAAAACATCAATTTAACACTAAATGCTAAAAGTCGATTGACAGTTTTAGGAGTTTCTTTCTTTTTTTCACAATGAGATTAATTTGTTAATATTGTCTAAACACGATGTAATAAGGCCGATCAAACTACAAAAGGTATCAAGTTGAATAACATTTAATCATTTAATTTAAAGACAAAGAAGGGTGGTATAAAGAGGCAGCTTAAACTCCCAGACTTCCTCTCTCTGATTTGCATATAGTTTGTCAACCCACTTATTTCCACTTCATTAACTCCAGTAAAATGTATCCTATTCGCTCCTGGGATTAGACTCATAATGACGGGGTGAAAGTGGCTTGTACCTCTATTGTAGGCCAATCATCCACGACAAATGAGGACAGAAGAGAACACTTTAAGAAAAAAAGATGTGTGTAACCAAATTGTTTCAATTAACATTTCCTATTGTCTGCAACCCCTGTGGGCTAATAATAGTCATCATGTATCCTACTGTCCTAAATACACACTGGGGTGTGTTTGTGTTTATTCTGATGAGGAAGAAGCAGCATCAAAGCTCACTGAATGGACCATAAACTGCTCTTGTCATCTGTAATTATAATCATGAAATGCTTCACCTTAAAGTGAAGTTTCTCAAAATGTGGATGCTCTTCTTTCCCATCTGGTGGCACAAACTGGTTAGTGTACAGGTGGAGTTCATATTTTAAAGGTCCCATATTATACTATATTTGAACAATATATTATAGGGCCATATCTATACAAAACATCTCTCTGAAGTGTTTTGCTCAAAATACCCAACAGATCACTCATTGTAGCCATGCCTCACATCCCTCTATTTCAGCCCTGTTACTAAAGTGCTGATTCCGAGTCTGTAGCTTTAAATTTAACCGAGCTGCTGCTGGCCACGCCCCTTTGGAGTGGTGAGCTCTGTGAAGAGAAGGGTGTCTACTGGCAGAAACTCAGCTAAATGCTGCCGTGATTAAACGCCATATTATGTTCTATACCAATCAAGCATTATTTCTGAAACAGTATGGAGCTCAAACGTTTTCTCTCTTTACCACAAGTACCTTTTATATCCAGCTTCTTTACACATATTCTCTAAAGTACAGCGTTAGCTATGAGTGCTGGCAATGCTTGTATATGTAATGTAAACACAGACCATATTACTTCCAATGCACGTCACGCATTTCCAATATCACGTCAAGCCCGCAGCAATTCTGGATCAGCTCCGTTGAACCCTCGTTTTTAGAGATGTGGGTGAGGAGGAAAAGTGAGAGGGTTGTATTTTCTGTCACTTTGTGAATCTCCTTACAAACCAGGGACATATATGTATGTATAAAAGACATCAAAAAGTGCATTTTGCATAATAGGTAACCTTTAAGAAAGAACAGTGAAAAGACATTGGTGGGGTGCAAAGCATGAAGAGACATCCACAATGCAGTTATCACAACGTTACATTTATTCCACACTCTCAGCTCACAACCAAACTGCTGCATGATGTGCATATTAAAATATTTTAAATTAATGAAAACAAACATGTATATGGTTTCCAGCGTACTCTAATAGCAGAAGAAAATATACACTTTAAATGAATATGTGACTACAGGGCACAAGTTTGTATTTTGTGATGACTTGAGGGAAGTCGTCTTGCATTCAGGTGGAACCATTGTCTCGCAGTTTCAAAGCCAGAAGAAGCAGGTTTGACATCTATGATGAAGAAATACATCCATAAGATCTTACTTTCAAACATCGTCACATATGAAGAAAACTGATGGCCCACACACTGACCTCTCTGAGATATTTGTCTCTTTCCTCTTGTCTCCAGCCGCTGTGCAGCAGGAGCAGCCGGTCTGCAGGTTTCTGTTCCTTTCGCTGCATCAGAGCCTCCAACAGGCGCTCTGTGACCCCTGCTGCTTCTGAGGGAGAGAGGTAGACACGCTCACCCTCTGACTCCTGCAGCGGCTCGATGCTCTTCTTTCCCATCAAATGACCTGGGGAGTAGGACGTAATGTTAAACATGAACTATTCTGGAAAATATCTGATTGTCGTCCAACTGCAACATGATAATCTGTAATTCAACTGTAATTATTAGGTTTTTTAACTCATTTTCACACCATATCTAGCCAGGATAAAGCTCAATTTATTCAGTAGATGTCTTCTATGAAACAGCTTTTTTTTTCTATTTTCTCGATTCACTTCATTTATTTTGCTAACCTACACAGTAAAAAAAAAACATTTATCTTTCCATTACATTAAGAGGTAAAATATGAGTTACCTTAAACAGGGATGAGAATGACTGCCTTATTATACAAAATACATTACAAAAAAAGCTCAATAATAAGATTATATTATACAACATATCTAGGAGGTAGGCTACTGTTATGCTTTAAAAAAAATCTGATATGAGATATTTAATTTATAAAAATAATTAGATAAAGAAAAAACAAATCTAAAATTCAATATTAGTTTAAGTTTTTGTTTAAATATGAGGACATTTATCTTACCTACTGCCCAGTGGTTGCCTCGTGGATACATTTTGCCCATCACAGCTGCAGGGCTCTCGGAGCTGTGCAGCATGCAGGGCATTGTCGCCAGAATAATGAAAAGTGGCCACATCGGTCTGCAAGTCCATGAATAAGACACGCACACTCCGCCCATGTTATCAGAGGAGAGGTCAGATCTAAACAGCAGTTTTCTGAATCCTTTTTTTCCCGCAGTTATTCGGTTTGATCTAACTTCAGAAAGTCTCCACCATACTCGGTATTTGCGTGAACCGATATTGCAGCAGGGGGGAAAAGTTCTCCAGCTGCAGACTTGTTGGAGTTACACTCCCGATGCCTTTGATAGAAATGACCGATGATGAAAGTAAATGCCCCTCCTGATACCAACTGTACGTCAGCAGCTGTTTTTAAAAGTACCACGGTGACGAGAAAGTCATGATGACAAATTAGCATCCATAGCCTGTAATTATTATTGCTCGTCATTGTTTGTCCAGTGATTGCGGGAGGTGTCAACGTCACCTCACGATGATTGACGGGACTTCTGGGTAATTGCTTCCGTTTCATTGTGTGTGGAAAATGGGAATTATTCAGATCATGTTTGTAAGAATAACTTGTAATATAACCAGTTGTATGTAATATTAGCAAAATGTAAGCACACTTAAGCTACAGGGAGTAATGGTAGACTTCCACAATGGCCCCTCTACTTTGATTACAATGTAAGATGTTGACTTTATATTGTAATACTTTATATAGCCTACTGTTTGGCCTTTCAGTCAACATTGAATCTTCACAACGTGTTCTATTGTTGTGAATGCTAAATCTTAATGTGAAAAGTAGAAATACACGTAAAATAAATCAAGTGAAGTAAATGGTTCAACATTTTAGTATAACGTATCAAGAGAAATAAGAAAACTACACAAAATTAGCATTGCATTCCTCTGGGATATCATTTAAAAGATCAAATTGACGCAGCAGAACCAGAGACATTGTCTTTTATTCCTCTCATTGAACTTCTTTGTCAAGACATGCCACCTACATTAACCACAATGCACTTGACAGGCTACATTTTAGTCTGAGATTTCAGGTGTGTTTTGCTTATATTTGCAAATGGAAGTCTGCATCATTTTAGAACACATCTTGCTATTGACATATGTAGGAAAGTTTTATTAATGCAAGTGCTATATTTTTATTATTTGCTAAAATGTCTTAGGAATGTACAAGTGAATCAAACAGTCTTGGCCGAAATCCCTAATAAAAACCATTGCCCCTTACTTGGATAGCAATATGAATCTTTACGCTACAACAATAAGCAAATATCCGTTGCGTCCATGGTCTTACACTTGGCAGAAGCATCCATGTTGTTTTCACATTTGGACTTAAAGTGGACTCAAAGTGGACTCAAAGTGGAAAGAATGACTTGGCAGATCACAAAGTGGGGCCAGCCAAGGGGTAAGTGACTGCACAAAATGTATTTTTCAAGTCTGAGAGAAGCCACCTTGATGAAGTCATTAAGGTTAATATCTCCAACAGAAAGCCTGTGTTACAAAAGGAGCATTTATTAGGCAGTAAAGATCTAACAGGTTTGAAACATGGGTGTAGGATCCAATGTTAATTGAGCCTGACTTGTACTTTTGCCTTGTGTTTAGTTTCATCAGATCCTACCATAAAACAAAATACATTGTCTACTTTAGGACAACACATTAAAGATCCCTCCCTTGAACCCAGACATACAGTCATCATATGTTCTGCTACAACTGATGTTGTTGTTCTTGTTTAGAGGATAATCTTTTTCATTTTGACTTGAATTGTATTGGCTAAATGTGTCTCCCAACTTCATAGATCTGGAATACAAAATCCATTAATTATCTCTTTCAGCACATTGGCTAAATGTACTTAGTTCATATCCACCGTTATGCCAAGTGTAAAAGTAATCTATAACATTATGTGTCCACTCAACATTTTACAAAAGAACAATAGTATTATCACCAAATAAAGAATAAAAACTACTCATCATGCAGAAGGTCCCCATTTCACAATGTTGTTTTATTTTTACACCATATTATTGGATTTCAAAGTAAGTACAATAATTGTCTCTGAAATAAAGGGGGTAGAAGTAATAGGCAGAATAAATTGATTAGTCAATTAAAGTACAAATAACATGCAATTACCAAATGCACTCATGCAGTTTTCTAAACATCACCTTATTTCCTGAGCAGAGGAAATGACGCAGAAGTTTAAAAAAAAAAGACATCAACAAAGATTTTGGAGGAACACAGATCCTGAAGGGTGATGATGCATATTTTCGCTGCCTTGTGCTCAGTTACAAGAATTTGACAATGTAGCATATGCCACCTCGTTATGCGTAGTCCACATCCTTTATCGATGCAGTTTATTACAGTGTATTTATCCCCCTGGAAAGGTCAACAGTGTGAATTAAGCTGTCCTCAAACACAGAGGAGCCCACGCATGTGCCTGTGTGAAATTCTCTTACTTGACTGATCCCTTTCATGACGGTATTGACAGACAGATTGCTGCAGGAGGAGAATAGATGCGGACAGATAAGGAGTCCACGCAGGTAAGTAACATTTTGTGTTGAAAAGGTTGGAGACTTCCTCTGGGTATTGTCATGTCAAAACCCCCCACACACACAACCTATATTAAATATATTAAAGGGAATATTTCTGGCCAAGGATGACCTTAACAAAGCAGGATGAGTCACTTATGGTCCAAGGCCAGTATCAGGAAGTGCCAACAGAAGAAAGATGTTGCTTTATTTTGCGTATATGAACATACAAAGAAATACATATTGAAAAATCAGGGAGTTCTAGTGATAATAATCTTACCACCTTCAATAAATCTGTTATAAGGTACCTTATTAATAATGCACAGACAGACATTATTAAAAAGACTGATTTCTGGAGTTAGTTAAATATTCAACCTCCTCATGAGTTCACTAACAACCAATCATGACTCATGATTACCAGCCCTTCATCACCTACTTGAGGCCACTGAACTAATTTAAAAAACACACATTTAAAAAAAAAAACTATAAAACGTAAGAGTGGATAATGTTACAATTACTACACAATCCTGTTTTCCTCTAATTTAACTTCATTTGTTGAGTAGAAACAGCAGATGGCACTGTGGGGTGAATTTAGGATTGACTCAGTAAATGTAATCTTATGATGAGTCATGTACATTTCTTAAATTGTATATAAAACATATAATATAACATGTTGATATAAATTTGCTCTATAAATTATAAATGTTTAATATAATTCTATGATATTATATTACACAAAATAGAAATATTCTCATGTTTCTGGAGGCTAATTTAGTACATTCTCAACAAAGTGAGGAATAAGTGATCTCATCCGTCTATTCTAATTCATTCTTTTAAAATGTCATTTGATACATTAAGTGTTCTGATGGTGGTGTCAAACCTGTGATAATATTGGCTTCATAAAACGTGAAAATTATCCTTTTAAGAAGGGCCATTCAGCAGTGAAGTGTAAATTAAAACAGACAGATTGTCATTATGAGGTCTTTGCTGCTCGTCACAGTTACGACTAAACCCCCTGTCCAATCAGAATCCTTGAAGTTAGCGCTGGATTTAAGGAAACATATTGGTTTTCTTTACTTTTGTTACACAAGAGATGGAAAGAGAAGAAAAAACTAAAGCTCAAAACTAAAGGGTACACGACTTCCTCAGTTAGGGCCCATTTACACTGCCTGAGGATCTGAGACTTGCAGAATCAGAAAATATTCACTTTTTTAGTAATTTAAAAAATACTATTTTATGCAAGCACATACTTCATTTCACTCTTTTTTCTGTTTTATACAGTTTTAGATTTTTGTAGGCACCACCCTCAGCCTCCCGTGCACTGAATCTGTCACACTTTCATGATATGCACATATCCAACTGCCTCGCAGTGTATAACATGCACATGCATATTCTGCAGCATTAATGGCTGTGTTTGATATGTCTGCCAGATGTATCAGGGACTGGTAGCAGGCCAAACAGAGACAGCTGAAAGCCTCACAGCAGTCTTGCAGGTAGGTTATGAAATACTTTATTTGATCGTGTTTCCTTTGCCACTTTATCTGGCACATGAAGTGTGATGTGATGCTCTATTTTTCTCTTTAATTGCCTTGTATTAATGTTATTTCTGTGTCTGTACTGTGTGGGTAACATGAATAAGCGAATATGCTCTTATTGAATTTGTGAAATAGCATGGTTATGACGAGTTACGATTAGTTATGTGTAGGAAAAAGAATTATTAAAAGTTAATTCTTTCAGACTGGAATGCAACCCTCTACTTTCATATATCATTGTTATTGTTAGTTTGCATGTGTGTGTGTATGTGTGTATGTATATGCTGTTTTTTGCATCAAAGGTTACAACACTGTCCAGTAGACATGAGACTTATTGACTTTGGCCAAAACAGCATGCAAATGGAGCAGTTGGGCCTAAACAGAGGCCTCTGCGATTCATACATCCTGTTGTAAATATATAATGTTACTGAAATGTGCAGGATTGGTACAAGTTATCAGCCTATCATATGGCTATGCTATGGTACCTGAAATGTAGTGTACTTTTGCAAGCCCTTATTATAATCTTCTCCTGCTCATTTCCTTTTCTTCCTCTCCATCTCCCCCACCTCCCTCTGTCTCCATATCCCACTCTCTCTCTTCTTCCTCTGCACCAGCTGCTGCTGCTGCTCCAGAGCCAGAGTGGAGAGTCCCCTCGCCCCCCTGCTCAGACAGAGACAAAAGGCCTGATTCGCCTGCTGAACACTGCCCCCTTTCTCCATCCGCCCCTTCATGCACGGCCATAGAGGTGATGGTGGTGGTGGTGGTGGTGGTGGTGGCGGGGGATTCAGGAGAAAACAAGGCCCGGACTGGGACTAACATCTAGGACTGACCCAGTGAAGGAGAGTGTGAAGAGGGGGAGGGGAAGAGGATGGGGCTGAGTAAAGGCAGGTGCTGAGGCCTCTACAGGAAGACTATTTTTCCCTGAATATCTCTCTTTGTTTGAGTGGAAACAAATCTGACAAGGGTATGCCACATTTAACTATATATGCATGTAGTGCATGTTTATGTGTGTCTCTGTGGTGGCATATGTTGGCAGGTGTGGCATGCGTTTCAGGTTGAATCTGGGGAGAGGGTTGCATAAATGGCCTGCGTTTGACCACGTCAGATTTTCTAATCTGGTGTTTCTACAATCCTTATGTATATATGATATTGTTGCTGCTGTAGGCTGCATGAAGGTTCTTTATATTTCAGAGTGATTACCAGTGTGTCTATGGTGAAAGCACTGGGGTAGAAACAGGCCAAGGTGCCAGATTGAGCCTTGTCTAACATTAAGGTTACCTATATTTCCTTGTTCCTTTCATTTTGTTTAGGTAAATATCAGCTGTTATCAGTTGTTTTAAACATTACCTCTTGTAACCTATTTTTTTATTTACATTGTATGATATTTCTCACCTTCTTTACTTTGTTTCCATGTTCTTGTGCTCACCCAAACATCATCTCTTTGTGCAGGGTTGTCTTTTTGAGGCCTACATTTCCAGCACTGCTAGCAACCTGTTGTTTAATTAAATCTATGACATATGTGTAGTTTGGTGTAAAATCGTGCAGCGTTCCCAAGGAAGTGGGCACACTGCTTCTGCCTGTGTGTTTTCTGAGGCCGTATTGCAGCACAGGGCTTTATATTGGGTGAGCGGAACCAGATGAAACCGGTTTGAGGCAGACTGAGGGCTGACAGGAACAATGCCCTGTCTGTGCTCCACTGAGGGATAGAGATAGCCTGCCCAGGCTACTCCATGGCAGCCCTTCACTGCTCAGCCACTTGCAACCATGGCACTGACAGAGACCCTCTGCTGCTGCTCGCTGCAGGCTGGATGTCGGCGCAGCGCGGCTCATAGCGAGGGGGGGCAGGAGGATTTGGGAAGGGCCGAGGGCTGGGGAACATGGCTGGCTCGGAGTTAGTAAATCTGCAGCCTGAAGCCTCACATACACACACATCCGAGAGCATGATCTATCTATCTGTTGTATGTCTGTGTGCTGCTGGTAGTGCAAAGAAGGACTAAGGAGGATACCACCACCACCACCCTGGATGTAACCTGAACCAGAATTCTGGGCCTTTACTAGTCGGGAAGGTATTTTTTGTTTCCCGTGCATGTTTCCACCATTGTTGTTTTACATTCACTTTACCAATATTGTAGTTTTACAATGTGTGGGTTTGAGTTGGTAATGATGTCTGTTAAACTGATTCTGTTTTCATTTTTGTCTGTATGTTACCCATTTACTTTCTACATCAGGCTGCTCTTGCTGTCATGGCTGTAACTAGGTGTTTTTCCAGCAGGCCTTTCTCTCTCTGCTGCAGCCTCACACAGCTCAGCAGCCATTTTCCCGCCTTACTGCATTTCTTTCCTTCTCTCTGTCATTAATGCAACCATTCCATCATCTGGATTGAACTGAGAATTCTTGCTTTGTGAAACCAAAGACGAGGCAAATAGATGTGGGTCTCCCTGTGTGTGTAGATGTGCATGCATCTCGATTAAAGAGCATTACTGGTATAACTGCATGTACTGTTCAAGCACAGTTGCACTACAGCTGCTTTGATTTCCCATCATGGTATTTGCATTGCTCACTTCTTAAAGAAAAAGTCTGGTTTGTGTCTGAAAACTCACTGAACCCAAAGAGTTACTGACCAATAATGTATAAGATATTATGCTAAATAAACATGGTGTGTTTTCTTGAGTCATTATCCCTATATCTTTTCCATATGCCCTTATCAAAATTATTCTCTGTCATCAAGGTCATATTAACAATTCATACAGTACTTAATTCAGTTTAAGTATTGTTGAGATTATTCACAACCGAAGCAGCTAACTGACAGTCCACTTGTATATTCTGAAAGTACACTAATCTTCGATATTGTTCAAACAACTTGGACAAGAAACCATCATCCTCCAGATTATATATTAGAAAATACATTTAAAAATAACTCTCTGAATCCTCTCCTTCCAAGACAATGGAAAAGGATAGCCTGCTGCAGTATACTTGTTTTTCTCCCCATTTAATTTGTTCAATTACAGCACTGCTGACCATGTAGTGATTGAAGGGGGAAATGTTTTGCCAAGTACCCACATTAATTTCATCAAAATGTCAAATCTACCCCGTGTGGAGCAACAAGTGGTTGCTGCGGAAGAACAATGACGCAGAAAAGGGAGTAATTGGAAGTCAGTCTGAAACCTTTTTTTCGGAAGAGCCTTGCATTGGCAAGATGCACAGATTGATTGAAGATGTAGCAGGAGAGCACGATAGCTCAGTTTGCTTATGTATCATTTGTAACCATAAAAACAAGGAAGCAGAGATTAAAGGTAGGGTAGGTACATTTGAGAAACCGGCTCGAGATCGCTAGAATTTGAAAATACACAACCGGAGAAAATCTGCCACTTCCTTATAGAGCCCCTCCTCCAACACACACAAACGTGCACATGACCAATGAGGGCACGAGATAAGTTTGTGCACAGATGGAAGGCTGACAGGCAGGTAGGCCATCCAGTTACTTTAGCCGGGCCGGCTAAAATGATTGGTCGTGCTTTTTACAGTATTACGGCTTCCACAGATGACATTTTTTTATGGATTTTTTGTCAAAGCACTTTAGATATTCATTGCTATCGGGATGTTAAGAGCATTCCATGGAATATAACAAAAAGTGTATCTCGAGCCGGTTTCTCAAACTTACCTACCCCACCTTTAAAGGTGTATTTCATTGGCTGTACCACAGAATATCTGAGACTTGTTCACTTGTTGCAAGTGTTTAGACACCACAAGGCCGAATGTAATTCACACAATATAGGCAAATATGAACTGGACAACTACATCAGTGGCTTCTACCAAAATCACAAAAATATCCCTAAAACAATGTTGTCAAATAAGTGTATTCTATTTAGTTTTGTTAAAAATGGAAATAACAAAAAAGCAGGGTTAAAACTAAACTTGTGTTATACGATATGATATAATATGATATGATATGATATGATGCGATACAATGATAATTTATTGTCGGATCAACTCTGGAATTGTTCTCACATCGCAGCAGCTTCATTTGCTATATCAACAAGGACAGTGCTCACCATTTCATCTTAGTCTACAATATGAAAGGGATATACCAAAGCTGAAAACGGTATTACGTCACTATTATTTTAAACAGGACCTTTTTGATAAACTCACATAATAGCGTATAGCTAGGAACTATCCAAGTAAGAATAAACAAGATACCCCTGTAATTAACTAAAGTAATGCCATTGTCTCTAATAATGTTTTTCAACTATAGTATTAATGCTCCTAGCCATCACAATTGCTATTATAATGATCATTTATTGTCAATTTGTCAATAGGGCTAGGTCGGTTTATTTTATTGGTTAGAAATCTAATGTACAATTTATACTGGCTGGAATGTACATCCCCCTCCTTTAACATACTGTATCATCCAGGAAATTCAATTAAATGTATATCTTTGAAGATCTATTGAATGTTTGTTGTATTTCCTTTACTGTCTAAGATAGTATATTTTGTACTTTTATCAACCAAAATGTCCTATTTTCTCCAGCAATACAGATTGTAACCACAATTGGTCCACAGAATTTGAGAGAATTACAATTATTGCCCTGCAAAAGGTCACTAATTTGGTACATTTAAACCCAAAGAAAATTCCACACTGAATATGAATAACCTGGTTATTTCCCATCACCATGAGAACAAGCCTGGGACTAATGATGGACTTAGTGGGATGTTATGCAATATAGGTGTCCATGAAGTTTATCTGAAAAATGTATATCTACAAGAATACAAACCTTTTCCATTTAGAAAAACTATGATCAGAAACAAAGATACCAGTTTTACAGCCCATAATCTAATACGTATTGGTATCAAAATGACTAGAAACTGTCAACATGAGCTCACAGTGGATCAACTGTCATAGAACACAATGGTGATCTTTGATATGCTTTAATGGTTTTTGGCGAAGACAAATCAGTGAAATATTAGTTTTTTCTGAATACAATATACACAAAGACTTTCCTTGCAAAATGTGATACTGTATAAGAAAGTATTTTGAAGAACTTATATCAGTACGTGTAGTAAAACAAGTCATCATTCTACCATTTCATCTGTGTTCCCCAGGTGATCTCCTCATTAAAACAGGATTATGGGAGATATGAAGACACCAGACTTCGATGACCTGCTAGCGGCTTTCGACATCCCGGACATGGTGGATCCCAAAGCTGCTATTGAATCTGGCCCTAACGATGACCATGACGGACAGCTAAAGCAACCTAGTGGTGGGGTGAATGCCAATGATGATGAGTCCCAGAACCCATCACATGACATTGGTGTTAGTGTCATTGTCAAGAACATCAGAAACAAAAACACTAGCAGGCCTAATGAAACCATATCAGAGATGGATGAAAAGGTCCATTCCCAACACTATACTGCTAGCATTGACAATGGACTTTATAATGGCTTTTTGCCTTCAGGACAACCTGCTAGTCTTTACACCAAGAATGGATGGAACACTCCCAGCAAGGAAGGACAGCGAGTTGTCAATCAATCACCTACATTCAATCAGTTCAGCCCCAGCAGTGCTGAAGAGTTTGATGACAATGATAAAATAGAGGTAGATGACCCTATGGACAAACAGGGAGGTCAGTCATTCTTTAAGTCCATGACTAAGACTGAAAGCCCAAATCCCAAGTCTCCTGTATCAATCACTAGAGTTTCCAGCACAATCAGGAACCAAAAACCTGATCAAAACAACAACACCAATGGCACTCTGGAAGGTTCCAAGTCGGATAAGCCCCCTCAATTAGGTTTACCTGAGGGGGGACAAAAGGAAACTGTCCTCAAGTCTCAACGTCTGGAGTCCAAGGAGGCTGGAAAGCAAATGGATCGTGTTAATGAGTCCATTGTGTCTCAATTCCAAGCCAAGTCCTCTGCAAAACTTTCGTCTTGTATAGCAGCAATAGTAGCTCTCAGTGAAAACAAGTCTATCGCTACAGACTTGACTGTTTTGAATTTGGCCACAACACAGAAGGAACTAACCAATACAAATCCCATAGCTCGAGCAAAGCCACACGAGCTGGAGTCAGCCCTAGAGTTTGCAAAGCGGCTGCTCACAAGACAACCAGACAGCTCCACTAGTGTCATGATGAGTGAGGGTAGCAGTAAAGATTCCCCTGCCTCAAGCACAGACACCCCAACGGTCATCCCGAAAGTCAGGATCAAAACAATCAAGACGTCATCGGGGCAGATCAAGCGTACTGTCACCCGAGTTGTGCCAGAGTTCAGTGACATTTTCTCATCTCTTACAAGGCCCTCTCTGCCAATTGAAATAACCAAGCAAATTACTATTAAACCTGTGGCAACAGCTTTCCTGCCTGTCTCAGCAGTCAAGACCACTGGTTCCCAAGTCATAAACCTGAAGCTAGCTAACAACACCACAGTCAAAGCAACTGTCATCCCTGCTGCATTAATACAAAGTGCGAGCAGTGCCATCCTGAAAGCCGCTAAGGCCATCCAGCAACAGACGGTAAGGGTACCTGCCTCCAGTCTTGCTAGTGCCAAACTTGTGCCAAAAACAGTCCATCTAAGTAACCTCAATCTTCTGCCTCAAACTATATCTCCTGCTGTATGTGGTCTGAAACAGGCCCTGTCCTCCTCCAAACAACCACAGCAAGTCAAGCATCAGACAAGTCTTGCTGGCCGGGCCTCAAAGAAAGTCTCCACTATTCAAGTGTTTACCAACTCTCAAAGCTCTGTAGTGGACGCCTTCAATAAAGTCCTGAGTAGCATAAACCCAGTCCCTGTGTATGTCCCAAACCTCTCTCCACCAACCTCAGCTTGCATCTCTCTACCCTCACGTGGCTACAAGTGCCTGGAGTGTGGAGATTCGTTTGCTCTTGAGAAGAGCCTGACACATCACTTTGAACGTCGCAGTGTGCGGATCGAGGTCACCTGCAACCACTGTGCCAAAGGTCTAGTGTTCTACAACAAATGCAGCCTCTTGTCTCATGCCAGGGGCCACAAGGACAACGGGGTGGTCATGCAGTGCTCACATCTAATCCTAAAACCCATCCCTGTAGATCAGATGATAACTCCATCACCCTCATCAGGCCCAGCCAACCTAAATGGCATCATCTCCAACTCCCAAGTTCAAGCACCCTCCAGTCAAATCCCAGGAAGAGTTGCCAGTGAAGGGTCCCAAACTAAAGTGATTTCAGCTCCATGCAGTGCTCCTCTTGTGGCAGCCATGCCATTGGGGGATGATGCATTGAAGGTCTGCAGGCACAGCCTAAAATGCTTGGAGTGTAACAAAATGTTCCAGGATGGCAGCTCGCTAGCTATGCATTACCAACAGGCAGTGGATTCCAGTGGACAGGTTTGTTAATGTTATATGTGAACTGCTACATAGGTTCAAATAGGAGGGAGCCTTTGTTTCAATACATTTTTCTCATTTAGACTTTTACATTCACAGTACGAGAACTTCTATTTCTTGGCTTGACAAGATCTTTCGTTAAAATAAATAACAGGATCCTTTATGCAAGAAAAATCCCTCATATGCTGGGTGCATCTTTCCAGTGCCATGATAAAATGCTATTTCTTCTTTTCTTTTCAGAAAACATGCACCATCTGCCAAATGCTTCTCCCAAATCAGTGCAGCTTTCAGTCACACCAGCGAATCCACCAGCACAAGTCTCCTCACATCTGCCCTGAGTGTGGCGCCAGCTGCCGTTCTGTCCACTTCCAATCACATGTCACCAAGAACTGCCTGCATTACAGCCGTAGAGTCGGCTACCGGTCAGTCTAACCAAATAAAATCATAACATTTATTATTTGTATTTAAGTTTTCTCTTGTGCTCAAATTTAGTTTTGAACTTTCCAAAAAATGTCTTCTGTTGGAACTGAATTTGTTCAATAGTCAAACCTGACAATTGAACGATTTTCTTCCTTTACACAGTAAAATGTCATTTATAATTACAGTTATTATAACATCACATTTGTCTCAGCTTGACAACCTTTGTAAAGGGAAAGTGAAACTATTCAAAATGAAACCTATGGGGGAGATTGGACACTCATAATATTAATGTAAATTCACCCAAGATACCAAACATTAAAACAGAAAACCCAGTATCTGACCAATTACGGTTCAATTATGAGTCTGATCCATTACAATGTTATAGAAATCAACATCGACTTAAAATCGACAATATATTTGTATTCCAGTCTGGTTAAGATCATTTCCATGTCAGATGGTTATTCCATTTCTTTCACAGAAAATGAATATGCATATTGACCAAGAAAAGTTTGTGTCATGTACTGACCAACAAAAAAATTGAATCTTATAGCAGATACATCAACAAATCATGTCATCCTTTTCCTTCTCCCTCCAGCTGTATCCACTGTAGTGTGATCTTCGCTGATGTTGCATCTGTAAAATCTCACATCCAGAGTTCTCACTGTGAGATATTCTATAAATGTCCTCTCTGCCCAATGGCCTTCAAGACTGCACCTGGAACACACTCTCATGCAAACACACAGCATCCAGGAATGAAGGCAGGAGAGCCCAAGTAGGTCAAAAGCACTGTCTGCACTTAATATTTATATAAATGCTCATCTAAACCAAATGTATGTTGTTGTTATGTTCTGTTAAAGACTGAATTCCTGTTAAGGCCTGTTGTTGTTTTGTTTTGAAGTACATAAAAATATATATCTCAATGGAAAATTAAATATTGTAATATTTCAATTCAAATAGTATGCAATACACAAATAATACACCAGCTTTTTTGTTGTCAACACACATCCGCACGATCTTCCTTTTACAGAGACGCACACCATTAAAACCCAACACCCACGTCCAATTGATGTTTCAAAGGAAATTCATCCTCCCTGCATCATGAGCAGGATTTGTGGGTTTTAGACATGGTGGCTTATCTTGGGTTTATTCTTTCCACATGGCAACCTTTCAATGACTTACATACTATCCATCATCACAACTACTGACGACACAGGTGCTCAGGAGCAGAGGCCTGTACGACGAAGCCGGTTCAACATAACCTGGATATGTTTGAGTTAGCCGGTTGGCCTAATCCAAAACATACGTGCTCTCGCTAAGCGGTCCTACGACGCGGGTTATCAAGTGGATTGCTCAAGCCAGCCGTGTCCTATCTAGTTAGGTGCGCGTTCACATGAAAGGGGTGGTATTTGGAGCATTCGACCAATCACAAACATGGACATCGTACTGACAGCACAGCGTCATACTTCCTGAATGTAAAGTGAACTTTAATATTAGTCAAATATGAAGAAGTTAAACTTTAAACATCCATGACTTAAACACTTTATCCAGGATAAAAGCCATATAGCTGCACCTGCAAGGTGAATACAGCTGGTAAAAGAAAAAGTGTTTGAATGCGTACATTAACAGGTTTATGATATGCCCCGTCTAAGACACGAGTGGATCTGACTTTAATTACATTTGACTCGAGTGTTTCGTCAACTTAATGTGTTGCTTAAAATAATACTTCTGCATACATTATGTGATACTGTAAGTGTTGCACGGCCAGATACGGCTCAAGAAGCTGACTCAGATAAGGAAATATATGATACATTATGATGTGATATGCCGCGGACTGTACTGTTACTTTGATCCGGTTACTTATGTTGTGGCAGATATTTAATTAAGCTTTCTTAACGCTAATGTTATAATAGTCAGATTGCTCTGAAGATGGGAGGTGATATTCTATTAATGTTCACGTTCACACAGTCTGTGATTTTGGCCGGCCGTCTTTCCTGCAACGGCAGTTTAAACTGTATTTCCTTTCTCCTGTAATACGACTTGATCGCTTTAAACTCTGCACACTGAGCTCTGATTGGTCAGCAGGCAGTGCTTTTATCCTGGAACCTATCCTGCTCCGGAGGCTAGCCGTTCAGAATAAGTTATCTAGCCCGTTAAAAAGTGAACCAGCTTCGTAGGACCGGAAACCCCTGAAGTTAGCTTGCTAAACGAAAATCCTGATTCGTAGTATAGGCCCCAGGTTAGCCGCTCAGAATAAGTTATCATGGAGATCTAGCCCGCTAAAAAGAGAACCAGCGTCGTAGGACCGGAAACCCAGAGTTTTCCCTGAAGTTAGCCCGCTAAGCGAAAATCCGGCTTCGTAGTACAGGCCTCGGGTGTTTGTGTACTAATGTTTGGGTTTGGCCCAATTTAGATCTAAATCAACTTGTGATGTTAAACAACACTCCGAGTACTAAACCAATTATTTAAGTATGTTTAATAATTTAATAATTTCATGATCTAAACTTTTCTTTAGGTCTGTAAACGTTGACAAGTTAACGCTCTTGATTAATCTGGAAACCTTAGAGCATTAAACTGAAATTAACGCAAATGAATCACATTACCAGGTTCATCCCCAACGTCCTCCCGTAATTCCATCCACTAATGTTTACCATTAGTTGACTGGACTGACTCGAGAACACATCAGTAAGAACCAAGGTGTGCCTCACTATAAAAGGCACACCTAACCCATGACATATAGCAACTACACTTGTTCTTTGGTTGTGGTGAAAACTAGAACATTTCTAGTTCAGCAACTTCACTGGCTCCCCGTCAAATCCCGTATAGTTTTTAAGATTCTGCTCCTCGCCTTTAAGGCCATCCATAACCTCACTCCTCTGTACCTCTCCGACCTCCTGCACATCAACACACCCATCCACACACTCAGGTCTTCTGCTTCCCTCAACCTCACTGCACCTCCCCTTCCGTTTAACCACCATGGGGTCCAGAGCCTTCAGCCGCTCTGCACCCCGCCTCTGGAACTCCCTCCCACCTGACATCCGCAACACTGACTCTCTCCCCATTTTCAAATCACGCCTCAAAACATATCTCTTCACACTCGCATATCCATCCTGATCATTATCCATCACACATCCTCTGTTTTTATTTATTTGGTTATTTGATTGATTGATTTATATACTGCATTGTCTTGTTTATGTTTCTTATGCTGGTGTTATCTATTGTGTATCTTGTTTTTTATGTATTTGTACGGCGACCTTGAGAGCCTTGAAAGGCGCCTATATAAAATAAATGAATTATTATTATTATTATTATTATTAAAATGGGGTTATACCAATTGAAGTGAAGGAGCAGAGCTTTTTTTAAGGACGTACATTTTTTTATCTCTCTTTCAGGATGATCTACAAGTGTTCCATGTGTGATACCGTGTTCACATTGCAATCCCTGCTCAACACGCACTTTGACCAGCACATTGTCAATCAAAAGGTTTCAGTGTTCAAGTGCCCCGATTGCTTCATGCAATACGCACAGAAACAGCTCATGATGGACCATATCAAGGTGGGGATATAAAGCAGTTATTTTAGGGAAGCTAATATCCACTGTTTATGTATGTATGATTCTGTTGTAAGTTATTTTTAAAGTTAATTATACAAGTACTACAAATAACTTTAGAAATCATTCATATACTAGTGCTGAGTATATTTGTGGTTATGATTTATATGCATTGTGGATCATTTTCAGGCCATCCATGGAACCCTGAAAACCATTGAGGGTCCACCAAACCTGGGCATCAACCTTCCTCTCGGCACCATGCCTACTAACTCTAATAACAACAACAGCAACAGCCCCAAAATTAATAAAAATAAAACAAATAATAACAACAAAGATGGAGGAAATGTAAATGGTCAAGATAAGGGAATCACTAAGCCTTCATCTTCACCTCTAAAGAAAACAAACACTAACTGCTCATCGGACCTGAAGAGCCCACCATGCTCAGGATACACATGTGGAGACTGCAGGAGCCTCTTTAGTTCCAGAGAAGTCTTTGTGGTTCATATGAGAAGTGAACACGAAAAGGTGAATGTTTGAAACCATTCTCATTAGGAGGTTTACGAACAGTGGCATTTTTGAGATTCTGCTTAAGGATGAAAAGAAAACACACGTATTTTTAGAGCTGATGCCAATGTAATTTAAGCAAAGCTCTTTTACTTAAATAAAATGACTATAAAAAAAAATTCTGTATAAGAACGATAGGGTTCTTCATTACTGTTACTTAAGATAAGTATGTAAGCATAATCAGGAGAAGAAATCAGTGCTGAAATATGGCTGTTGTACTATTGCATGTTTTATAATAAATTCATTGAGGTCTAATTGGTTAATGCATTTTCCATTGCAGATTCTCAAGAAACACCCTTGTCGGCAGTGTGAGAAGTCGTTCAACTCCTCCCACAGTCTCTGCCGACACAACCGTCTCAAACACAAGGGACTGGGGAAGGTCTACACCTGCCCGTAAGTACACACCCACTGTGGTTTTAACAGCAAGTTTTTCAAACTTGTGTCCTTACGCGATTACGGTTGAGGTTCGGTTAGGTTTAGGCACCAAAATAACTTGGTTATCTTAGCGAAAAAGATCATGGTTTGGTTTAAAATAAGACTTGATTTTGTTATAATGGTTAACTATAATAAATAATTGGATACAGTAAGCAACAACTGGTCTCGTGATGATAAGAAACCAATGTTGACAGTGTTAGGAAATAGGAAACAAGTAGCAGTTGATGTGATCCAATGTTATGTTTGTTGACCCATTCATCCACCCTGACATCTATGTGGCCCTCAGACTACTTCTTATTTTACTACTAACAGATAGACAGGGCTTCGTCTCGCAAAAATGTACACATTCGTCGTTTACAACACAACTTACCCTGTTAAACCCCACGGACCCGCCGAAGGGTCCGAAAATGCTACATCTGCTAGCACCAGTGTGATCTCTGAAGTGTCATTTATGAAACTATTAATGTTCCACACCCAGCTGACGGGAAGAAACTCAGCTAACTGACTATACAAAAAAAAAAAAAAAAATAATAATAATAATTTCCACAAGAAGCCTTTCAATGAGCCCTTAGCAAATACGGACTAATGCTATTTCTGCTCATAACTCACAAAAATGATCAATTATAATTATACTTTCTGCACAAACAACACATCATCTGAAAGCTGAGATTCCACAGATTCCATTGGCATAGGTCTCATCACTGCACGGCCAGAACTCACTGAGCTAGCAGCCAGAACATAGCAAATAAACAACATCAGTTTTCAAATCCATGACAATAATTAGCAGGTTAAATTTTACAATAATTTTTTTTTTTTTTTCTTTTTTTTTTTGATGGAATGAATAACTATAGTGATGATTCAATGTTATAAAATGCTTTTTACAGTCTGGTACCTGAAAAAGGTCAAATGGCACTGATGGAACCAGATGTGCCCAAATGTGCCCAAAGCTTAGTCCGCCTGGACTTTTTTTCCCTAAATATCTCTAAAAAGGTCAATTTTCACTTGTTTTGCCTCAATCTTGATACAGGGTACCTATTATATGTTATAATTTGGATTCCTAAAGCTTTTAGGCTACTAACCCATCATCCAAGGGTGGTTTTCACTATAAGTAATGGTTTTTTGTTAGGCGGAGGTAAGAATTTACACTTTTTTACTATGTTCCATCTGAATTCACTCTGACACAGAAACATCTATATTGATTCTGACACGTTTACATCCATCTCACAGATGTAACCTTGCTTTGAGAAAAAAGATTATTAATTTAACCCTTTTAGAAGTGAAGTTATAGTCATTTGTTCTGGGCATGTCATTTTCGAGCCTGAAACCTGAAAAACAGGCTTGGGGTCTAACAGGCATGATTAGTATCCATTCAGAAGCCAAAATTACTGCTGTTAATTCTGGAGGTTTAGGGGTGGGAATGCAAGCTTGCTTCAGCTTGTTTTCCAACAATTTCAACCGAAATTATTCTTCAGAAGTTATAATAAGAATGAAAGCTAATTTAAACTATGCAAGTACTAGCACGCAAAAGTCAGCTGTTATTGTTATTTGCTTGTACTTTGATAGGCACTGTCCAGCTCTCAGTCCTCCGTTCAGTAAAAGAGTGCTGCTGGATCAGCACATTCATCTGACACATGGGGTCAAAGAGGGGAAGACAGTCAACTCGGACAATACGGAGGCTTTACCGGACAAGGATACGGTACTGTTGCATACACGTCAACATAATTGTGTTAGCAGGAAGTTAATCTTTTTACCCTACAAGGGTACTGTCAATCCTAACTCATTTCCATTTTCTGTGCAGACACTAAGCCCCAAAAGGAAGCCAGAAGAGGACGAGGGGTCTCCAGGCCTGATGTCCAGGGGCTCCGGCTCACAGCCGTTAAAGAGGCTCAAAGTTAATATCCTTAAAGTTCAAAAGTGTGCCGTCTGTGGCCTCACAACTGAAGACATCGCAGCTTTCCATGAGCACATTCCCCAGCACAAGTCTGATGGCTCTTCCTACCAGTGTCAAGAGTGCGGCCTGTGCTACACCTCCCACCGCTCGCTGGCCCGACACCTCTTTATCGTCCACCGGCTAAAGGAGCAGCAGGGTCTCGCCCTATACAATGGACGGGGCAAGGATGACGATGAGAGTCAGAGAGAGAACCAGCTGGACGTTACAGACGGGACACCAAACACCAAATGCAAAGTGTGCGGGATGAGGTTTGAGACGGAGGGAAACCTAAACACTCACATGAGGACACATGGGATGGCTTTTATAAAGTCTAAGAGACTGATTGCGGCTGAGAAGTGACTTTTTCAAAGCATTCCAACTAAAGCAAATACTGTTGTTTTAAACTTTACAGTTTGTTAAGACAAACAACTCTCAGTATATTATGCGGTACTACATTCAAAATGTAAATGCCGGTTACTACAATATGTATACAGTATAAACTCAAAAATATGTAAGACATGTCAAAATCACTTTATGTTTAAGATAGATTTTTGTACACGTAAATGTTTTTAGGCTTTGAGGTTGTTTTATAGAAGAGCTTTTCTTCTTTTATTTGAAACAATTTCCATTGTTCTTGCTAGGGCTAGATAATATGTGGATATATTGTTGTAATGGGACTAATTCTCATACAGTCAGCAGTGTTCTGAATGTTTAAAATTGCTGATGTAAAACAAATGTCTATAAGAAGAAACATGCACAGATAAACCCTTTTGGAGTTTCATGTTTTTTTGCAGTACATAATATTTGTCCTGTAGTACCTGATGTCCTCAGTTTCACTTAACTTAAACCGTTTCACTTAATTTAAACCGTGCTCCGCGCTGTAGTGGATGGCACGTTTCCACTACAGCGCGGAGCACGGTTTAAGAGGGCTGTGACGTCAGCGGCCCGTTTTTGGTTGCGTTTCCACTTGGCCTAGTACCGGCCGGCGGGTCCTAATTCACAGTTTTTCTGGCCTCATAAAATCGTGGTTCTAGGGCCAGAGACAACGAGGCTGAGTCGGGCTGAGTATGCTAAACTAGAGAGAGAATCGCTGGCAAGGGGGCTACAACTACAACAAGATGGACATATTTGACCGTGATTTAATTGTAATACACGTTTCAAAATGATCCCGAAGTAACAACATACTGATACCGGTTAGTAAAAACCATGAATTAATGCTTTGACAAGTCTGCAGACAGACGGCAGGCGAAAAACCTTTTAAAATGCGTGTTTTCTAAATGGAGATTGGCTAAGCTAACGCAGTATATGCTCCGACCATCCACACTCACAACAACGGCCTATACAGACATAAATAAAGCAGCGACTGTATTCGCCATGACACAGGCAGTCTGTGGTGTGTACTTGTTTAACTTTTGTCTAGTTTCTGAACATATATGAGGAGCTGTGAGCTCTGAGTGCTAACAGCTAACGGCTGTGTTGTTTTTCTGGGGTTCTCATTGAAGATGACGTCACGGCTCCGCCTACACTGCGTTACTATAGATACTACCCCAGTTCCTAAACTGTAATGGAAATGCGCCATAAAGTGAGCCAGTCCTAACGAGGCCTAGCCATACCGAGTGAGGCCGAGCGAGGCCGTGTAGTGGAAATGCGCCATTAGAAATTGAGGGAAAAGTTTGGCATCAAACATTCATTATGTTTTAGTTTTTGTTTCATTTAATTAATAACTAAGAATTGTCTCTGAGCCTTTTAAAATAAAACCTTGCCCTGGTCTCCTTTAAAAAACAAAGATTATTGACCCTAAAACAAAATCTAGGAATTCCGTTTAAGCTAATATTAAATTAAACATCAAAAGATATCACACAAATATAACGTCTATCAATGGCATACAACTTTGTAAAATGTGTGTTATTTACATATCAAATACATACACAGCGAATATTAAGAAATCAGTTTATAGCTACCAGTTTTGTGAATGACTATTGTATTTTTCAACAGAAACAGGAGCCTTTAAAAAATACCAGGGCCATATGTGAAGACATTTTGAAAATATATTTTTGGAAACATTTGTATATATGTATGGCAGCTCTTTAAGTTCTTTAAAAATATTATTAAATGCTACAGTATTGACTTTTTATAATATCAGACTTATTTCTATCATAATATCAACATTTTCAGTTTTTTTTGTTTTGGTTTTAATGTTGTCATAATGAGTGTTCAATTTTACAGGAATAACACTGAGATTTGTTTTTTTACAAATGTTAACTGGGAAACTGAATTATTGATAAAAGACAACCAGTTCAATTTAATGAACAATAACTGCAAGACTTGATAATCAAAAGATGGTTTTCCATTGCTTTCTATGTTGCAATCATTTTCAAACGTTTTTGGATAGTAGTTGCTACTTAGACAATGAGGCTTTAACTGTCAGGCGCTGTGAAGCTGCATGTGAGAAACAGTCTGTGAATGATTGTTGAAAAGAATGTATCTTACTGCTGCTGTTTTTAGACATTTGTCAGGCCACTTAGACTGAAACAAATAACAAATGAAAAATAAAAACTGCTTTGCCCTGACCTTCGCCATATTAATCTTATCAGACGATAAAAAGGTAGTTTTGAGTAATAGCTTCTTGTTTGCCCCCATAAGCCCCAACAACTCAATTTATGGTGCTTTAACCAACAGTGTCACTGTCTAGCAGAGGTGGGACCAAGTCATTGTTTTGCAAGTCCGAGTCAAGTCTCAAGTCTTTGCGCTCAAGTCCAAGTCAAGTCTCAAGTCTTTGCGCTCAAGTCCAAGTCAAGTCTCAAGTCAGGATGGGCAAGTTCAAGTCAAGTCCAAGTCCTTTACTTTGACAAAACGAGTCTTAAACAAGTCCTTATGTGCTTTTCAACAAATGTAATGACATCGATCAACAGAATAATACTTAATAATCAAACTGCTCTTTATTAGTCACATTAATCATTTAATAATCCATTTTCTCTCTGCTGGTAAAGTAACGTGTTTTCTTCTATTTTAAGAGGGATAAGTAAGGTAAGGCTACCGTGACGGTTTGATTCAGAAGGAGTTTAATGTATAAGATCCCTGATGTTAAGGTAACCAGAATGATTATTTCCACTGTGTACAGCATGTTATAAGGGACCCACAATCTATCTTTATGCAAGGGATAATGTGCAGCGAGGCGGTCTCTATGGGGAAAAGAACACCTGAATCTAGATCCCTCTGCAGGTGGTACTTTAACTATATTTTGATGCTAATACTTTTGTACTTTTACTTGTAACATTTTGAATGCAGGACTTTTTATTGTAACCGAATATTCCTACACTCAGTTACTTTTACTCAAGTACAAGATCTGAACTTCTCCCACCTCTGACAATAAATCCTGAGTGGTTACCAAAAAAAAAACCCTGCTCTGAAGGTTATTTTCATTTTACAAATCCTGCACTCAGCTTTGCTTTCTCCAATATCATTGAAATGCAGCCAGATGCTGCTTCTTTTTTCGGTTTTCGCTAATTTCTTGACTTTTTCCGACGCGCTTGCATTTAAATCCGGCTCTCCGGCTCCCCATCTCCCGGTCGCTCTGTGTAGCTGGCCTGTACCACTACACCTGCTCTCTTTCGAGCGTCTGCCCCCCACCCTTCTTTCACATAATGGTATGATCCCAGTGTGTCCTCGCATATGATTGGCTGCATGGTGGCTCAGCAAAATAAAGTCCCGCCCCTGCCTGCATGGATTCACAGCAAGAGTAGGAGCGGCTGAAGATTCTGCTCTCCCCGACGGGAGTCTGCTCTTCTAGCGGCATCTCGCGATCGGCGTGTTGGAGACCCCTGAATTAAAGTATCAAGTCACCTCAAGTCAGAAGGCTCAAGTCCAAGTCAAGTCCCGAGTCATTGGTGTTCAAGTCCAAGTCGAGTCGCAAGTGTTTTGTGATTTTGTCAAGTCGAGTCCAAAGTCATCAAATTGGTGACTCGAGTCTGACTCGAGTCCAAGTCATGTGACTCGAGTCCACACCTCTGCTGTCTAGTGCCTCTAATAATAATAATAATAATAATAGATTTATTTTGTTAGCGCTTTTACAGGTGCTCAAAGTCGCTTTACAGAGATAGTGAAAAGAAAAGAACAACAAATAAATATAGTTAAAGTCAAATAAAAATCAAGCAATACAAGACAATCACACATTAAAAGCCAGATTGAAGAGGTGAGTTTTTGTAAGTTTTTTGAAGGTAGGGAGGTCAGTGCAGTCTCTGATGGGTTGTGGGAGTGAGTTCCAGAGGGAGGGGGTAGCCACGGAGAAGGCTCTGTCCCCCCAGGTCCGGTGATTGATGCGGGTGGGGATGGATAAGGTTGGCTTCTGATGAGCGGAGGCAGCAGAAAGGGGTGTGGTGGTGCAGCAGGTCTGTGAGGTTGGGGGGGGCATGATTGTTGAGGGCTTTGTGCGTTATGAGCAGGACTCTGAAGTCGATTCTTTGATGGACGGGGGGCCAGGGGAGGTTCTGGAGGACGGGAGTGATGTGGTCTCGGGAGCGGGTGTGGGTGAGGAGGCGGGCAGCAGAGTTCTGGATATGTTGGAGTTTATTGAGTAGGTTGGATGGTATGCCGTAGACTAGAGGATGCTATTGCAGTAGTCGAGTCGTGATGTGATAAATGCATGAAATGATATGAAGAATGTAACACTTGCTGGCAGTAAGTAATTTGTTAATAGTTAATTTACTCATCTGCAACTAGATGATCACCCCATGAACCACTCTTACAGGTCTGTCTTTTCTAACAGCCCACCCACCCATCCCCCCTCTCCCCTCTTAATATGCCTAATGCTTCCTGGACTGAAATATTGAAAGAAAAAAAAAATCACAAAACCTGTTACTTCCCTTCCTCACCAATTTCATGCTGAGCTATAAGAAGTAACATATTCAACATTTGAATCACACTTTGGAGAAATAGAGATATAATGACTTGAAATAAAGTTGAAGCAAATTTAGATTTAGATATAGAATTAATTAGGATATAAAGCTACATCATACTTGATTTGTATAGATTTCGCCCCCCCCCCATTGTTGCCAGGTAAAGTCTTGGTACTTTATAAAGTTGTTTTTTAAGGACAAGCTCACCCTCTAGTGGCCGTTGTTGTTTTGCACTGTTGCTCCTACTATATTCTAACCTGAGATAGCTTGTTCAAGTAAAAACAAACTAAGTCGAAACATTTGAGGAAAAATATTTAAATGATTTCACACAAAAAAAACAACAACATCTGCTGTTCGAACGGTGGTCGTGGTACAACGTGGCACTGACTTTAGTATAAGTGTAGCAATGATTATTATGCTTATATTTTAATTATCCTGTGCAGTGACCATAATCCCAGCCTGGATATCTTTTGTTTGCATCCTACCCTCAAGTAACCAAATCCTGTTCACACCTGATGTAGAAAACCAGGTTGCCATCTGCAGTAACCAAAGCAGTTTTTCCATCTACCCCATTCAAGATTAATTTCACGCTTCCTTCTTCTTCCCTCCTATGTTATTTAAACTCCCTCTCCATTAAAAAGAAACACTTAGTCATAAAAATGGCACCGAGTTGGATGGTGTTCCTTCTTTTTGCAGGGTGTAGTAAAGCGCTGGAGAATACGCAGGCCTCGACTGTGTCTCAGAAATGTACAGAGGATACCAACACTTTTCTCTGGGAAATTACCCAGGACAGGCCGAAGGAATATGCTGTTCAAAGTAAGTGTTGTTGCCTTTTTATTTCTGTATGTTTAATTGTAAAGTCACATTTGCATTGAGTCTGAGGCAGTGGATGTTCTGGTGAATTTAAACCACAAGGGCCAGCTTTTCTTTCAGAGGGGCCAGCTACATTACTTTTGAAAATAAGTGTTACTTCAAGCCATGGAGTGGATACAAGCCATCCAGAAAATCTTTATCAAACAGCCAACAACATAATAGTAAGTCAAATAAAAGTCAACTGACTCATATGTACATCCGAAAGAAAAAATGTGCTTTGAAATAACCGTAATTAAGAATATTTATACTACAAGGCTTAGAAAAGAGAATACAAAAGTGTTGATGTTTTTATCAGATCCGTTGCAGCCCCTTTTTTAGAGATTTGGGTATGGAGGAAAATAGAGAGGGTTGTGTTTTCTGACACTTGGTGAGTTCCCTGGAACACCGGGGACACATATTCATGTATAAAAGACGTACAAAAGTGCATTTTGCATGATAGGTCCCCTTTAAGTTGTGTTTTTTGGTGATGCTTGTCTATGTTTTATCAGTGTACGATGCATTTGGAAAGATGGGCAGCAATGTGAAAGGAGGCAATGCAAACCGGCCTGGCCTGCTGCAGCAGTGTCGCTCTGCACATGGGCCCTCTTTCTCTGCACAGTACTGTGAGGTGTTCCTTAAACAGGTAACAACAAACAATGTAAAAAAACAAACATGATAAAATACCATTGTTATAGATCCTGAACTGAGTTGTTTTTACTATAGGGAACAGTCCAGTACTTTGTGGGTATTTGTGTTCCTGAATCCTGTGGAGAAGAAGATGTGGAAATGCTGGTGCTGGACGGTCAGTGATTTCAAAATAAGTTTTCTCTGGACAAAGCATTCTGTCATTCCAATACATTTTTTCACCCTTTTTTTTAACAGGGAGTCTTCAGTTTGGTCAGACGTCCCTCATTCCTCCTTTACCTCACATCCTGGTCAATCAGTCCACTCAGGAGATGATCATGACCCACTGCTTGTCCGCGATTGCACCCGGTGCATTAGATGCCATCTCTCTGTAAGCATTTTATTGGACATGTTTTTTTTCTTTAAAAAACCTTCCCTTCTGTCTTAATTACTAAACATCACTCAATGATCAACGATCGATTATCTCTGCAAAGTGAAAACATTGGCGTATCATCTTTAAGGTATGAAACTCATAATGAAAACAAACATATGCATTTAGATACATATGAGAAATGTGGCAGTTTATATATTTATTTCCTTGACACAAAATATTTTTTTGTAATGTCTGAAGGAGTCAAGAACTAACATCATGTTGTATTTTGTGTTGATATAATTATAGCTGATAGTGTTGAATAGGCACATGATATCGTTTCATATAAATCGCATGCCCCCAAATTGAATCCTATCAAAATCGTATCAGGGCCGATGTTGTGTTATCAGCTAATTATTATTTTGTTGTCCAAATAGTGATGTGATTTACACCCCTTCTATCTATGTGTGATAAACTGAACCAAAGAAGTTAAGTGAGATTTCAAGACTTCACTCTACCTTTTTGCTCCTGCAGGTTTGTTTGTTGTGTAATGGTAGCCATCCCCCTTGCGGCTACCCTGTTAACGGCTATAATAAAGTGGCAAAGAAACAGAGAGGTCAGGCCATCAGCGCAGACTTCCTGTTCAAACACAGGCCTCAACCTTTATGGGACCATGAAGACCAATGGCTCCTACAGTAGTGATATCAATCATGACACGGAGGAAAATAGTAGTAGTAAGTACATTTTGTATTATGTGTAGATGATAGGTAAATTATTAACCCCTTGAGAATGACAATTTCCAAGTGGGAAAAAACTGATGAAAAAATGTATCGAAGAGAAATGATCTGAGTGATTAAGGAAAACTATTCCAGTCTGATAGTTGCAAAAATATTGTTTACCTGAAAAAATATTTATTTGTCTTTCCTAGGCAGCACCAGCATCACATCCCGAAGCTTTTTGTACCGGTGCCTTCAGGCGTTCTCCATACAGAACACCAGCCAGGGAGTCCTGAGCACCTCCTCATCCGTCCCAGGAGGAGGCTACTCCTCCCTGAACGGCATCCGCGTTCTCAGCCTGTTATGGATCATATGTGGACACTCTGCTCAGTTTCCTGTTATAAACAATCTGGGTACGACGAGATTCACTGTCAATGGTGGAATGTAACAAAGTACATTTACTCGTACTTGAGTGTTTTCATGATATGCTACATAATACTTGTATTTAACTTAATTAGAAAACCAATATTATACTTTTTACTCCACTACATTTATCTGTCAGCTATAGTTACAATAACTTTACAGATTCAACCAATAAGCTAGAATGACATTAATAAGCTAATAAATGGACTATGATATACAGCAGCAGTTTACAAAGCAATTAAAATAAGCTCCACATTTACCAGTTGTGATGAACACATTAACACATCAGTTATATATAATAATAATAATAATCCAGTTATTAAACATTACACATTGGGTACTTTTACATTTTCCACTAAGTACATTTTAGAGCCAATTCTTGTGTATTTTACTTAAGTAGGATTTTGAATGTTGGATTTTTACATCTAACAAAGTATTTCTACAATTTAGTTTTGCTACTTTTACTTAAGCAACAAGTCTGAGTTTATCTTCCACCACTGCTCCATGTCACAGTCTCATTCAGTATACAAGTCATTCAGTCACCTAAATATTATTATTGTGAAAAACATTATCTTTTTTCCAGATAACTACAAAAACTGGAGGACAACAGTTGAAAGCAACCCTCTGCATGTGCTTACCATCAGCGGGCCCGTTTTTCTAGCTGTGGACACCTTTTTACTGCTAGGGTAAGACTGAAACAACATTTCATTTCGTTTAAAACCATACTTTATCTGTACAAATAAAACACTGAGTTTTGAAGGAGTTGACCCAACGATTTTTGTCTTACATGTAGTGCCATTTATCAACTTAGATTTGCCATGAGTAGATGGACACTTCTAGTACTTTTTGTGATATTGTAGAGAGTAAATCATTCCTACAATAGGCTGCTGAAAACAAGATCTCTGGATTAGCTTGAAAAACAGGGTCATAATATCTGGAAGTACGCCATGCTGTTAAGTTGTTCAAATGTGAAACTTACATCAACACAATATAGATTGATAAATAGCACTGCAAGTACTGTAAGAGAGTTACATATTCATTTTTGTTTTGCAGTGAACTGTCCATTTAACTTATCAGTTTTTAGCCGTTTCTAAAGCAGCTTTTGTGTTGTAGGGGTCTGCTTAGTGCGAGGTCTCTGCTGGGCTCCATAAACAAGGCTGATGACAATTTGAGTCCGAGTTTGGTGGCTAACTACCTCCTCAGGAGGATTAAAAGGTACTCCATGTTGATCATATCACCAAAGTTATGATTATCTATGTGTCATTCTTTACTTCTAAACAGATTTGAAAGCTCTTCTTTGTATATGTGAAGTTACATAAGTGTGAATACTCTTTGTCTTTTCTACAGGATTCAACCACTGCATATGTTTGTTATGTGTCTAACGATTGGCCTCATCTCACTGATCCAGTGGGGACCCTACTGGTTCCCATTTATAGATACACTGATGGATTGTAAGACGTACTGGTGGGCTAACTTATTTTTGATAAGCAATCTTCTTCCAGTCCATGAAATAGTAAGTAGTACATTGATTATTTCCTATTCTGAAATGTGTATATACTTACCTGCTTTTTTATCTGATTTCCTCATCTCTCCTCAGTGTATCCCTTGGTCATGGTACCTGTCTCTGGACTTCCAGTGTTATGCCACCACTCCTCTGTTGGTCTATTTTTACAGACTGTATGTCCTTGATTTCTACTTTTGGCAAACTCCCCTTTTGAATCATGGCTGACTTATAACAGCACTACTCCTGTAATCTTATTCCTCTATCCTGTCTTTTGTTTATCAGAAACAGAGGTGTGTTTATAGTTGTTGCTGGAGGTCTTCTGCTGATGACCACTGTGGCCGGAGCTGTTGTAACTGCACTCATGCATCTGCCTGTCTTTCAGCCATCTACCCTGTAAGATCTAGTGATGGTGATATGCAAACAGTTATACAAGTGGAGGCTAACCAGCAGATAAAGTAAATTCTTTAAAATTGTCTTAATTCTCTACAATGTTTCTTTGTCTATTTTGCAGGACGTCTGAGTATTACGTCTTATATTACTATGTCAAACCGTACACAAGGTATGGGCCATTTTTAATAGGCATCTTGGCTGGAATATATTTGACAACAAAGAAAGACCCACTGTTAAAACATAAGGTGAGAACACCCTGCCAGACAGCTTATTTTCATGTAGAAATGAACACATTTTAACGTATTTTGAGAGGTTATCAGGCCAAAGAGACACAGTGATAGGGAACTAATTACTTGGCCCGTTAGTTATTTGTTTTAAATTGCTTATCCACTCCTCTCACTACTCTCTTCCCCCTAATATTCTCCTTGCATGTGACAGCTTGCCCTTTCTTTGTGCTCGGGCTTTGACCACAGCGGTTTCAAGATATGACCCTGATAGTGGGCTCTGCTTGCCAGAAGGCAGAGTGGTTCACACTCACGTTCAGAACATTGCCATAGAATGTTAATTATCCTCTCAGGATTAGTTAATTATCCGGGACTAAGCGGGAGGGTAAGGGTTATATGCTCTTTAAGGGATATGAGGTATCTGTACGGACTCAACTCACATGCACATCACACTCATCTCCTTATCGTGTCTTTCTGTTGCGTCTTTTCAGTGGCAGGCAGCACTTGGTTGGATCTTCTGTCTGTCAGTCATGGCTGCGGTAATTGGATTGTCTTACATCCTCAAGGAGACCCCAGCCTCTCCCTCTGTGCCCCATGCCCTCTACCAGGGTCTGCACAGGCCGCTCTGGGCTCTGGCTGTGACCTGGATCATACTGGCCTGTGAGGATGGGTATGGAGGTAAACAAAGAGCACTAATTTTAATAAATTTGTATTTTAAATATGCATCTTAACAAATGATTGAATACACTATACATGACAGTATCTTGCTTCATAATTTCATTCTTCAAAAGTATAGTATCAATGGCAATATGAGAAACATACTGTATACTGCTCTATTTTTGGCAATTGTTATTAAAGCAAAAAAAAAACATTAACATTATGCATCCAGAAATGATAAATAACAGAACTATAAGAAAAGGAAAACATGGATTTTAGATTTTGGGGATATGTGTCTTTACATCATGCAAATGAAGTCCCAAATAAATGACCTATAAAACTTTTAAAAACAATGCTCTTTTCAATGCTCTCTCCAGGTTTGATCAAAAACCTCTTGTCCCTGGGTTTCTGGGTTCCTCTTTCCAACATTAGTTTTGCCTGCTATCTGACACATCCCGTCTTCATAATCCTTTACATTGGCCTGCAAGAGACCCCAATCCACTACACAGACATAAACTTTGTAAGTCAACACCTTTTTATTGAGTTTCACGAAGCGACCTTTTAAGATTATACCTTTTTATATTTGTGTTTTTGTTTCCTTTTCTAAGTTAATGTACTACATTTCTCCCATCTTCTTTAGATGTACCTGTTCTTTGGACACCTGGTGCTCACGCTGGTGTTCAGCTATGTGCTTACCCTGCTGGTTGAGAAGCCATACCTCCTCCTAAAATGGAGAGGTACATAAAGAACACAAAACACTCTATCCAGCTAACACCCCTACTCTTACTGTATGTGTTCGTTTGTTGTGCCTTGTAAGTTATTTCAGTTTCTTGATCAAGTAACTTTTTGTAGAAAGATCACACAAACTTGTAACTCAAAAGTATTAATTCAATTGGTCATTAAGAAAAAACAGTTTACTATTTAGGATAAGTGGCAGTTATGCTATTATTTACTGTGTCTCCACATAGTGTAAATTCTATATTGAAGCTATTAAAAGAGGAGAGGGCTTGGACTACGGAAACATACTTTAAGTGTAGCCCTCGTGCCAAGACAAGGCTTGTGTGACACAAAGTTCATCATATTCCCCCGGCCATTCGACCCCCTCTGAAACTGGACTTGGACATTGCACTTTCCATGGCAGTGAATAAGAAAGTGACACTGACTCAGCTGGTGAGATCATAACAAAGGTTTTCAGTTACTTATGACGCATAAATGGCACGCTACATTTCCATCGTAGCACTTGCAATATGCTTGGTATGCGCTCTGTGTTACATTGCATTAAGATGAGTAATGCTTTCTGAACAGCCTCAAAGGAATACCTTGAACCTTTGCCACTGTTGATCCCTGCTGCTCACTCAGAAACTTAACTCCTCATGTGGGGATATTCACAGGAACTATGTTATAAAATCAGCACAATGATTTCAGGATGGAGTTTATTTTTATTTTTTAAACAACACTATTTCTCTGAGAATCTTAGTCCAATGATGACATGTTTCAGCATTTAATCTTCTTAATTAAATGGTGTTTTAGTTCAATTTTAGGCAAGACCCTGCGTTAAGTGTATGATAAGATCCAAACATGGCTACCTATTTATTTATTTTAATATAGTGATCTCATGTCAAACATTTTCTGGCTACATTACAGGAAATACTGAGCATGGCTGTTATAAGTGTTGATTTCATATACTGTAAGTTCTATATTGTGTAACTCCATATGTACATGTATTTGACCTTGAATATATTGTTCACATCACATCATTGATGGTTTTGTGTCCTCATTATCTGATGTTGTGCTCTTAAGGTAAATAAAACCTTTCATAATGTTTGTGTATTGTGTCATTGTGACCCTTTGTAGTGTGTGATGATTTACATATAAAGCCCTGGCCCTTTGATATAATTACTTTATTTAATTTGTATTTATATGTTTGAATGTCTTTTCAAATGTTTTCTCATGTCTTTTGTAAGGACCGCTTCTTGTTTATTTTTTGGGTGAAATATCTGAAAGCATTATGTTAAATGATGTATTGGTAGAATACAGCGACGTGCAGTCAGGGGAGGCAGGGAGGCAGAGCCTCACCTGTGGGTGAGGCACAGATGAGATCTGCCTCACCTCAGAATGCGTCACCCCACAGAAACTGGCTGGAAAGCGGGCCCTAAGCGCATGCCTGTTACCATCTCACTGTAGGTCACCAATGTAATGTTTGTAGATCCCTTTATTACATTTATCCTCGCCATCCATAGTCTCTAAATAACTTATTTCACGTATATATGATATTTAGGCTCGCTGGTCTCATCATACAACGGCAAAAAAGCACCAGGGGAGGCAGCCATAACCTCTGCCGCACTGAAGTGTGCCCCGCACGTGAGCCCACAGGTTCTTGTTGCTACTGTAATTCTACGCCGAGACGGTAGACGCAAACAACAAACTAGACTTTTGAAACTACAGGAAGATAAGGAGGACTTTTACAAAAAAGTAATAGAGATTGTTGTCCAGAAGGATAGCATGGACTTCATCTTCAAGTCAAGGTAAGACCATGCACATTTGTAATGAAAATGGGATCTTACTAAGAAAGAACAATCCAATATTTAGATTTTGGGTATCCTTTTGTTGAACGGTCTGTTTAAAATGAATCGAAGCATCAGACAAAAAGCTTTTGAAAATAACCGAATATTTCGATTAAGGTCAAAATATCAGTCAGTGAGTCAGTGCCTCACCCATGAACCTCACCGCACGTCACTGGTAGAATATGATCCTGGCATTGTTGAATCTTGTTTTTCTGTAGCTGTGTGTTATTGTTTTTCCATGTCAAAATCCATTAGCAGCTATAAACATCCAGCCCCCCACTCCTGTGCTCCTGTCTGTGCGTTATTGTTGGTCAGTAGATGCATTTAATTGCTGTTGTAAACATAATAAGGTCGTGTGTGGTGTTTAAAACAAGTATTATTCAAATATTAGCCTTCTCCATCCTGAGCCTCATCGGCCACCTATGGTAAACATTCATACATTTCTCTGTGAGGTGGATGGTTCTGGTTCTGGATTATCTTCCAGAAGATGAAGGTTGCAAGTTAAGCGCTGATAACAGTTGCGGTGATACCCAACACTTTCCAAGTCATCAGGGAGAGTTTTAGGGATCTGGTCACACACTGATTGCATACAATATGGGGACTTATGTGATTGATGGAGACATTGGTCCTGGATCTCATGCAGCTGTTGTAGTTTTTCTATAGCTGTTCCTTTAATTTTAGTGAGGGGTGTAGACGGACCATGATCAGACATGGATGGCACATGAAGGATGCAGGCACTTGGCGAGCATTTGTGGGCTGGACGATCTACACTTCGTTTTCTATTGGGCATGCTGGCTTACTACGTCACTGTCAGATAAATTAAATAGAAATCACCATTCAAGTTGAAGACAACCTGTTATAAAATCAGAACTTTTGTAAATTATAACAGATGTTCTGAGAGCAGCCATCATGTTCCACAGTTTAACCTGTTAAGCCCTGGGCCTATTTTTCAGGCCTCAGGCTCAAACATGACATGCCCAGAATGAATGAGTATTTTTCACAACTAAAAGGGGTATATGAATAATATTTTTTATCAAAGCAATGATACACCTGTGAGTTGGCTGTAGAAGTGTCAGAATCAATATAGATATTGCTGTGTCAGAGTAATTTCAGATTAAACATAGTAAAAAAAAATGTATTCTAATCTACCCCTAAAAAAACCCCATTATTTATAGTGAAAACCACCCTTTAATGATGGAAACCCTCTTTCCTGGCTGCTAGTTCGGTGAGTTTTGTCGTACAGTGATGAGACTTATACCAATGGAATCTGATGAATCTCAGCTTTCATATGATATGTTGTTTGTGCAGATAGCATGAAGTACAAAAATCACTATCGCCAGTCATGTGCTAATGTAGCGTTAGCGTTCGTTAAGTGATGATTTAGACGCTTGGTGTTGGAATTGTGTTTTGTAGGTAAAAATGGTTATTATCATCTGTTAGCTTAGTTTCTTCCCGTTAAGTGGGTATGCAACGTTAATAGGTTGTTACATTTTAGCCCTGGGACCTTTATATATACAGTCTATGCCTGGGACGCTGTTTCTTACAAGATGCTGAATCGGGCTTAACGGGTTAAGAATACTGCCCTGCAGTTTTGCATTACAATTACTGCCTTTTTTTTATTAACATTAGCTAGCTTAGGAGTTCATTTAGCCTAGCTAGCTGTACAGCTAGCTAGCTACCTAGCGCTACCTAGCGCTACCTAGCGCTACCTAGCGCTACCTAGCGCTACCTAGCTAATAGCTTTATTCAACAAGCTGCACCATTAGCTATCCCTCATTCACGTCGCTGTTAGTTAGTTAGCTAACGTTAGCTAGCTAATAGTTTACCATATTTTACTACAGTTAGCCTCTGCAGGGCAGAATAACACTAACACATGTTCTAGTGTGTAGCCTACTTTGGGCTGCAAAACGATGTGTTAACAACTATTAACCTGTTAAGCCCCAAGCCTGTTTTTCATGCCTCAGGCTCGAAAATGACATTCCCAGAACAAATTACTATAACTTCACTTCTAAAAGGGCTAAATTAATAATATTTTTTCTCAAAGCAATGATAAACCTGTGAGTTGGATGTAGAAAAGTCAGAATCAATATAGAATTTGTTTATTTTAAAGTAAATTCAGATTGAACATAGTAAAAAAATGTAAATGATAGTGTCCGTCCAAAAAAAAAACATTACTTATAGTGAAAACCACCCTTGAATGATGGGATAGTAGACTAAAAGCTTTAGGAATCCAAACTATAACATATAATAAGTACCCTGTATCAAGATTGATGCAAAACAAGTGACATGTGACCTTTTTAGAGAGGTTTAGCAACAACAAAAAACACCTTTGGGGTCATTTGTGTGGATTTGGGTGGATTTGGCTCAGTGGATAGAGTGCTGGACTTCGAATCAGGGGGCACCAAGTTCGAGCCCCACTGCAGTCAGCATGTCGTTGTGTCCCTGGGCAAGACACTTCACCCCAAATTGCTCCTGTGGGGAATGTCCACAGTACTGAATGTATGTAAGTCGCTTTGGATAAAAGCGTCTAACAAATGACATGTAAAGTAATGTAATTTGCCGTTTCTCTGGAACCCATTGGTCGATTTTGGTGATTGACACCTCTTTTTAACCCCTAGAGCCAATAGAATCGAAGGGGAAGTTCCACATACACAAGGTACCATTGAGGAGTGAGAGTGACGCGCACGCAGTCGAAAGCTATATTACGCTCTGAAAACTGAAAACTGAAACCTAGGCTCAAATTAGTAAATATGAAGATGGATTATCAGTAATCATTTCAAAGTGACACAGACACATTGGATTAACCATTGGATTAACCTTCAGCAGCGTTTTTAGCGTTTTGATGCCATGCCCGGTTGTTTTGTATTTTGTTACTTCCCTTTGGTTCCCCTAGTCCAGTAGGGAATGTAACAGTTGTTCATTCATATCTTATTTTACCTAGTTTACATTTATTTATTTATGCATATTTTTTTATCTCTCCAGTTTTAAACGATATTTTTGGTTTACTGTCCTATAGTATACATTGAAATTATTTCAAACCTGTTTATCCCAATAATTATAAAGGAGTGCCTTGGAAATATGTGTTTACATAAATTGTGATCAAAACGTTTGAGACCCACTGAGATATCTTAGACTAAAGTTAACTATCTAAGACGGTCAGTGATTTCAAAATACGTTATCTCTGGACAAAGCATTCGGTAATTTCTATATTTGATTATTTTCATTTTGTTTAACAGGGAGACTTCGGTTTGGTCAGACGCCCCTCATTCCTCCTTTTCCTTGCATCCTGGTCAATCACACCACTCAGGAGATGACCATGACCCACTGTTTGTCCGACACCATAGCTCCTGATGCATCAGACGCCATCTTTCTGTCAGTGTTTTTTTAAACCCTCTCTTATGGGGGGTGTAACTATTAATATCTCTGGAATGATACAGCGATACAAATGTAATACAAGTTAAAACATTGATACATATAAATCACTTTGAAGATATGCTTTTATTTTGAAACTGCAGAAGTGTCTCTGTAAATTCCATGACTTTTTTAACCTGCTATTGATGAGTCTTCACTTAACAAACATCTTTTATCCTGCAGGTTTGTGTGTTCTGTAATGATATCATCCCTCTTGCGGCTACCCTGTTAACAGCTATGAACCTTCTGCAACGGAAGAAAGAGGTCGCCCCCGCAGAGAAGCCTTCCTCCTCTGAAACTAAAAGTAACACTTCAGAAGAAAACAGTCAGAGTAAGTATCATCATAACATGTACCACAAGATTTCCTGAAAATGTTCACAAGATGAACACCAACAGTATAATGCTGTGCTGTGATTGGACTACAGAATGTAGATGATAGGTACATATGTTTTGGTTAACTTCAAAACCAATTAAATGTATCCTCTCATTTTGTAGCCAGCCCCCTATGGGATTAGTTTTGTTTCATAAAGATAAAGCAACACTTTCTCAGAATCAAGCAAAACTAAGAGTTTAAGAGAAAAAAACTAACTGAGTCAAGCAAAATACATTTAATTTCAAAATAAAACTATAAGTTGCAAACAAATCATTTGTGTAATCATGTAAACTATAAGTCTTTTTTCTTTGTTCTAACATATCTTTTTGTTTGCAGTTCTCTTTGCTTTGTCACCAAATGTTACCTTGAAATTATCAAGAATACAGTTTTTCTCACAAGCCGGTATGATGAACGAAAATTAAGAGAACAGAACCTTCTTGATGTTTGGAGTAAATGGTGTAACAAAAGCAAAACTC